GCTGGTCCTCAACTTTCGCTTTGAAACGTTGCGCACACGAGTTGCTTTTTGGGAGGGTGGTCCTCCGGTCTACGTTTGGGCAGGCAAAAGATACCCCCGGGTCTACGGACAGGGATTCTTGTATTCAGCCTTCCGGAACTGAACATACGGCACGACTGATGATTACTTCACGCGGATACCTCTTTGAAGCAGGGTTGCAGCTTCGGATCACTTTTAATGACATCGGCCTACAGCTCATTCCATATCCTACTCTCGAAAGTTACCCTACCCCTCCCTATACTCCGACTGATCCGAAAACACCACCAGCGGCCTATATGCGTCTGCTGGTCTTGGGTTATGGAACTCTTGCTTCTGGTATTAGCTTTCTGACGCCAGGGGAATTTAGATAGTACGCCCTACCCGTAACTAGGCAGATGAAATCCCTATGAGCAAGGCCGCTCAGTAAACCAACGTTCCAAGGTCCTAAATGTGATGCGTGGATTCCCCGTGAAAGGTTCTGACGGCATGGCGCCTTCGCTCAGTGATGGGTAAGGTCCGGCAAGTCTTGCTGGCTGACACGAGATAGGTACATTTCCGCCATTCGGATCTGTCGCGCAGTAGGAACGATGGAGAGGTGATTTCGTCGGTCAGACCAGGATGGAGATCTGTCAAATGGGCCAAAGCAAGTCATGACCCTCATCTAGGATCAAAATGCGATCCTTTCATGATTGGCCAATGCCGGGCGGGGTTATGGATACCGGTACCTGTGTATGGCGCCGATCCGGAGGGCTGGGCTGGGTGGTTCCTGATAAGGTTAGGGCGGCCGCAAGCAAGTAGTGGAGGGGTCCCTGAAGAGAGATGCTTGGTTGGGGGTAGGTAGGTAAGCTCTCCACCTTATTTTTAATTTTGGCTTCATGCCAACCTGTCATCTGCCCCAGCCGGATCGTCGAGTCGGTCATCCATCCATCAATCACTTTTTTTCGTCTTTCTTTCTAAGAGCGGCTCTGATCTCGAATCTCGGGAGCCTTTGCTTTTCTTCTTCTGTTTCTCTCTGTGCCCATTTTTCCATTCTCCCTCTCCAGACTTCGATCCGCTTGTGGTCACGCATCGAGGCCTTGTCGCTCCTTTGCCAACCAGACGTTGCGCGCCCGCCAAGCCGAGTTGCGCACCACGACGCTTGCCGCACAACGCACGACACGAAACGACACAGAACATTACGCGCGCCGATCACGAACCATAATGGCGCGTTCGAAGCAGGCCACTCCTATCCGTCGGCAGACGTCGTCCGAGTACTTCAGCAAGACCGACACCCTCGCGCGGATGCCCAGCCACGGCAATGGAGCTGCGACGACGACGACGACTTCAACAAAGCTCAACGACAAGGTCGCCGGGTCCGCCGCCCCCGTTGAGGGGAAGGAGGCCGGTGCGTTGCAAGTGCTAATTGCCGTTGGCGGCATTTATGCCTCGTTGTATGTTGCTCGCCCCCCTTTCCCCGTGTAGCCGGACATGTTGGAGAAGGCCTCGTTACTGATACAGGACCACGCGCAGCTTGACATGGGCCTACCTCCAAGAGAAGCTCACCACGACGCCCTACGGTCCGGCCTCCAAGCCCGAGGTGTTCAAGTACCCCGTCTTCCTCAACACGATTCAGTCACTCTTTGCGGCGACAACGGGTTTCCTCTACCTCTGGTCCTCCTCGCGCGGCGCCGCCTCCCTGCCGCCCATCTTTCCCTCGCGCAGCATCGTCCTGCCCCTCGCCCTCGTGGCCGTCACCTCCTCCCTCGCCTCGCCCTTCGGCTACGCCTCACTCGCGCACATTGACTACATCACTTTCCTCCTCGCCAAGTCTTGCAAGCTCGTCCCCGTCATGCTCCTCCATACCACCCTTTTCGGCAAGCGCTACCCGCTCTACAAGTACCTCGTCGTCGCCGGCGTCACGGCGGGCGTTGCCGTCTTCACGCTGCACTCGGGCAGCAAGAAGAAGAAGTCGGTCGTCAACCCGGACGCCAACATGCCCTGGGGCATGCTCCTGCTGTCCATCAACCTGCTGTTCGACGGCCTCACCAACACCACTCAGGACTATATCTTCAGTACCTTCAAGGGGTACACTGGCCCGCAGATGATGTGTGCCAACAACCTCATGAGCACCGCCGTCACGCTGGGCTACCTGGTCCTGAGCCCTTGGCTGGTACACACGGGGCTGGGCGAGTACCTCGGCATGGACGTCGCCGGCAACGCGGGCGAGCTCAAGGCCGCCCTGAGCTTCATGGCGCGCTACCCTGCCGTGTGGTGGGATGTCCTCGGCTTCGCGGCGTGCGGCGCCGTCGGCCAGGTCTTCATCTGTACGTCTTAGCCTTCCTGCCTTTCTCGGCCAATCATATCCTGCTTTTTTTTGTGGTTTTTCTTGTCATACCGTTAACACATGTCTCAGTTTACACCCTCTCGACTTTCTCGTCCGTCCTCCTGGTCACCGTCACCGTCACCCGCAAGATGGTCACCATGGCCCTCTCCGTCTTCGCCTTCGGCCACAGTCTCACCAGTATGCAGTGGCTCGGCGTCTCCCTCGTCTTCGGCGCCATCGGCGCTGAGGCCCAGATCGCGACCAAAGAGAAGAAGGCCAAGGAGGCTGCGAAGCGCGCCGCAGCCGCCGGCAAGATGCAGTGAACAGGAGAAGGAAACTTTCTCATGCGAACATGCCTCCCTCTCCGTTGCCTGTCACTTCTCACTTGTCGAAACCATTGCACTGTTCCGCGCACCAGCTCTCGTTCAGCCCCGTGAAGGGGCCTCCCCCTCTCGAGGGCTACCGCTTGACGTCTCATATTATGCCATGCGTTCGCGGGGATTCCTCACTGTGCACCCCTTTTCCCAGAGAAACAGCAAGAACAGAATACATAACACACAACCAGAGAAGAGCAGTGGTTTTTTCTACCCATGCTAGAGTAGGGAGCGTTACACGTCTTTTTGTTTTCATTTTTTTCTTTTCCATCGCATCGAATTATATTTTGAGATATCCAAGAAAAAAACATGCCGTCCGAGACGGTCACCTGGTGGCTTGGCACAGGGTGGCCCATGGTTTTCATTTCTCGTACCGCATACTTGTTATATATTTACTTACATGTACATACGTCCGTACACACACTACATGCACACCCTATAAGCGCGCTCGTCCACAGACGGGGAACACGAGGCGAGCTCGTATCTCTACCCGGCCCCAGGCGCCGGTTCGGCGTCTACCATCCGATGAGAGATGTGTCAGAGAGCGGCAGGGAGACCGGACCGCCGGGGGGGAGGGACGTTTCCCCTTTTCGATGCGAGGGATCCCGTCTTCTGCCTCCGCATGCTCCCCTCCCCTCTATGCGTCTCCGTCTCCTCCCTGCGTGACGTTCACGGCCCGTCGACGATGGCGGAGCTTCTACAATCCATCGTCGCGACGGGAGCAACAGGAGAAGGGGGGTTCCCTCCCTTGCCCCTCGCGGTTCCTCGTTTCCCTGCCACCTTGTCGCCCATGGGTAGCCCCGGACCCAGAAGAGGCGATTGCTTCTCTCCCTTCCACCCCTCCCCTCCCCTCCCCTCCCCCCTTTCTCCGGGAGCCCGTGGGAGCCCGTGGGAGAGAAGATTGGCCGGCCGGTAAGGCGGCGGCACGGCGCACCTCTCGACGTTCTCTCACCGGGCCGAACAAGTCTGGGGTTTCAGCTGGCCGGAGGTGGGGGAAAAAACGTCATGGGGTTCGGCGGCTGCCGGGGACTCTCACGTAGGGATCGCATTTCTTAGGGATTACATGTCTTGCTGAACCTGTTACCGTGACCGTCCAGACCGTCGATGACGGCATCCCGCGACGTGCCCACGCTCCAACGCTTTTTACCATTATGACACAATCACGTGGGACGCAAAGAGCAACAGGTTTGACACACTGTGTGTGGTTTCTCATTGTGGTTTTCAAATCATCTACTTCTCTCTCCCCACCTCCCCTTCTCTCTTTTCCTCCTGCCATGCATTCATGGTATCCTCGTCTCGTCCTTTGCCACATTCCCTTGGACTCCGTATGCGTTTGCGGAAAGTCATCCGTAGATTGACCCGCGGAAATTCCTAAACTCGACAAACACAAGAAAAAGAGAAAAGAAAAGGGAAAGGAAGAAAAAACTAAAAAAAAAAAAACTATGCCGGTGTCCTTTTTGGGGGGAGGGGGGAATGGGAAAAAAAACCCCGACGTCGGTGACCGTAATCTCTCTCCAAGTAACCCATTCCCCGTGGGGAAAAGAGCACCCGCGAAAAACCAGTGTACCAAACCCCCCCGGCTGTCCATAAACTCCCTGGGTCCTAAACGTTGGCGCACCCGAAAACGACTCCAGGGTGTGCAAAGATGGCCGAACTCCCGTTTCCTTGTCCATGTCCAAATAGTCAGGGTTTGCTTCCCACCTTTCCGTTCCAATATTCGCGCCCGGAAGATGCGCTTCTAGATTACACATTTCGGTTTATGGTTGTAAAGTACGTTCGTTTGCAAAGTGTTCGCGTGGCGGCACCATTCGCCAGCTCACCACTCACTACGCGCTGAGAAAAAGGCTTGAAAATGACAAAAGAAATGCCGGCTTGGCGATCGATAAGCTTCTGGAGCTTGCCGTGCTCAACGAGGTAGATAGGGTCGGATGCACGTCTCGTTGGGATCATTGGCGGTGTTCGCAAGTGTTTTCCATAATAATACCTGCCACCTATGTCCCGCCTTTTCGCCCAAAAATGACGCAGACGCAATGCTTGCAGATGTCGTTCTAACATTCAACTGGAATGAGGATGGAATACTTTGACTCCGCGAACGTGCGCATGGTTTGAGTCGCTGTCTCGTGCTCCGTCGATCGCAGGCCTCGTACAGTGTCCCGCGTTGTCGCAACACCCGTATTGACTAGTCCGTGTCGCGGGGAAACAGCCATAAAAGGCTCCAGTTTGGACCAATGTCGCCAAAAATAGTCCGATCCCCGGGGGGGTTGGTGCTAGTTGCCAAGCGACGTTGTACACCGTCCTGACCGTGGTCATAGCAGCTCGTCAATAGACCTCACAATTGGTGTTTCACCTCTTGTAGGCGGGCTTCGCGGGTCGGCAACCTGGGCAGGGCGTCCAAACGGGTAGAAAGGGTCTCGAGGGAACATTGTTTGTCTAGGCGAGAACAGACCCTCATTTGGGGTTGGCGGAACTTCGATAAACTGCATCCCTGGGAAGTCGCTGCAGGAATCGTGCAGTGGGTTTTTTGTCATTTCCTCTGCTCTAGGCGACATGAGTGTCGTATCAGCAGGCATCGCGCCAATCATTGCGCGAGGTAATTCCTTGCGGATGGTGTGTTCTATTTCCATTTCGTGCCCTAATGACGGGCCCAGGTTCAAGCTGGAGAAACCAAAGCCAGCTGAGGGGCCGAATCGATGAGCTCCGAAGCCGGGCGACGGTGGCGGTTTGGCCGGGAATGATGACGACGATGGTGCCAGGCCCGAAACAGACCCTTCAGGCTTGGATGGAAGTAAGCGATCAACGTCAAAGGTGGCAAACGTGACGGGATTCGTCTTGTTTTCTGACCAGGAAAAGCTCGACGGTGCCGATGATGGTCCCGGTGAAATTGGTCGATTGCCAGGTGTGGAATGTCCTCTGCCACGGGTAGGGCTACCCTTCTTTGGGCTCGCATTCCCTGAGCTGCCTTCCTGCTCTCCTGGTAGAGGAGCTGTCAAGGGCTCCTTGGGCGCGAGTTCCATGGCGGCATCGACGGACAGCGTTAAACGGTGCTTGGTGGGGCTGCGTCCAGCTCGAGGGCGAAAAGCTGAGCCTGGCGGGCCCTTCTTCTTGGAGACTTGCTTCTGGAAGTCCTGCAAGCAGTACATGAGCTTCATGTTAGGGCTGATCCATTTGCTCTTGCCTTGGGCAGCGTAATAGGCGTCGTTGACGCTAAGCTCAGGGTTCCTGTACATGCCGTACGCAATGATGAGACTGGCAGATCGACTTGCGCCTTGTTGACAGTGAACGAGCACCCTCTTTCCCTCCTTCGTTCTCGCGTCGATTGTTTCACAGAGATGCATCAGATCCTGTGCGATATCTGTGTTGTGGTCCCAGGGCATGTGAATGTACTCTGGGCGATGGATGGAGAACGAGGTGCCTTTGGGCGTCGTGGGTGTTTCGGTTCTCTCGAGGGTAGGGAACTCAAAGGCCGTGGAGAAACTCGCGTTTGACAAGGCAGTGTCGGGGATGGGGCTGGCTACAGGGGAGTCCGACATTGACTCGTCTGGCTTTGGCAAGAAGGCAAACGGGTTGTTGACCTCCCGCGCAACGTTGATGACAGTGTCGAACTTGGAAGCCTCCTCGGCTGTCGGTTCCAGGTAGAGGTAGACATTGTCTTCGTAAATTGCAATAGGACCGTCTGGGTACCCAGGTGTCTTTTGGTCCTCGTTGTTTTCGATCTCATGGAACGGCTCGAAGTCAAGAGCCGCGCGACTCGCGAGCTGCGTCTTGATCGGAGACTCCTCCTCGACAATCGCAGTGTCGAATGAAGAGCCAATGCCAGTCTTTGTCGGTCTCAGAAACTCTGAAAGACCCGACTCGTTCCTTTCCAGAACCTTGGGGAAAGTCATTCCGCCGGCGGGGCCGAACGTCGCGCTCTTCAGCGAGGGCAACATGTGGGGGGACGAGGTCGAATGCTTCAACGCGCGCCTCTGCAGCATGGGTGGCATGCCAGGCGTACCGGGGACTTCCAGGGTGTTGTTCCGCATGACGAGGTCCGATGTTTGCGTGTTGAGGCTCAGCTGACTGGGCTTGCGCTTCATTGCCGGGATGGTAGGCTTGATGAAAGAGGGCGAGGCCGGTTCGGAGACGAGCGTGGCGACCGAGTTGCTCACAAACGGCGGCTGGATCGACAGGCCCTTCATGTTCTTGGGGCGGCGCGGCGAGGGAGAAGTCATGGGTCGGCCGAAGCTCGTGGTTTCTGCCGCAGTGAAAGTGTTCATCGCAGACATGGGCGAAAGACCGCCAAAGGACGTGGCAGGGTAAGAGCTGAGGGGTATCAAGTTCACGGGAGAGTCCGGGGAAGACGAGGGGGACGGGTCTGACAGCGGGGAACAGTCGCTTGTCGAGAGCGTCGTCGTGGGCGACGACTCCGCAGACTCGGAGGCCTGGGTGGAGGTGCTGTCGTGGTGCTTGTGAGTGGGATCCGAGGGCATCGAGGCCCGCAGGTGGTGGATGGGGTCACCCAGGGGCTTTCCGGTAGCCTCCATCTCAATCAACTTGGGGTCAACGAGGGTGACTGTCTCCTGGGCGGCGATGGTCTCTGCGTCGAGGTCGAAGACGGACATGAAGGAAGGGATTTGATCTTCGTAGATCCGTCTCGCTGCTGCTGACGGCATGGTTCTGTGCACCTTTGGAATGGGCTGCCCGAATCCCTTCTCTCTCTCTCTTCTCTTGCGCGAGGGAAAGGTGTTGGCGACAGTCTCGGGCGACGACGAGACTGTGTAAGCCGAAGGGGGCAGCGTGGGCGTAATGGTTAAGAAAATGTTTGCGACGGGGGGTGGTTGAAGGGGCGGGAGTCGCGGTCGGTGTCGAAAGAAGGAAAAGGGCACGGGCGATTGGGTTGGATCGGAGGACAGCGCTGCTGAATCCCGTCGATGGTGTTGCTCCTCGTCGTCGGCGGGGGGGGGTTCGTGGTCCAGGCCTCGGCAGGACCAAATGTTGGTCCCTCGTATGTTTCCTACTCTTCCTCGTACTCGTTACGGTGGGCTGGTGACCAGTGTCGCGACAAGAATAGCTCGAGTCGGCGAGATGGCGGGGGACTGCTCGTATGGGGGGGACGGGTCCCTCTGCAGAGTGAGTTGAAATCGTCGTGTAGAGGTCGAGAAGCCAGTAGAGGGTGAAGCGGAAGGACAAGAGTAGTATAGAGAGTAAGTGGTTGGAAGTGGTGGAAGAGAATGGAGAAGAGAAAACAAATGGCTAGTCACGACGGAAGCGGCGGGCTTGGGGTTAGCACATGCTGTAGGCGGAAAACAGATATGTGGCGCCGTCTAGTCAATACGAATACATGAATTGGAATGAGACGGCGGGTAAAGCAAGCGGAAGAGGAGAAAGGTGAACAAGGTAAAAGGATGTTTTGCCGATTGGGGAGACCGCCGGACCAGAATGGAGGGTTGGTAGGTGCAGAGAATAAGAGAGGGGGTGGGAATTGAGGATATTGGGGGGGGGAGGGGAGGAAGAAGTGAGAAGAGGATTGGTAGAAGAATGTATCCGTATGTGAGGTGGTTAAAAGTTGAGTTGAGTTGAATGGACTAGGTACCTAAAGGTGGGAAGGGTTCGAGAGAGGATCCGACAGGGCCTTGGAGGCGGACGGGGCAGACTGGCAGCACTAATAGCAACAGCAACAGCGACAAGCAGGAGTTGCGGCGGCAGCGGCAGCACCAGAGTGGAAAGGATTGGATGGGTTGGTTTGGGATTGGGGGGTGGGAGGGGGAACGCTGCTCCGGTGCGGATGCCGGTTGTTGCTGGTCTCTGGTTGCTGGTGCCGGTGCTGCTGGTACGGGGTGGCGCTGCAGGCAGGCAGGCAAGCAAGCGACTGGAGAATGACTGCTGCCCTCGTCGAAAATGGGCCTGCGTAGGCCCGAAGAGAGACAGATGCTGGTCAAAGGCAAGGACCACGGATGGTGGGAGGGTTCCCAGGGTTGACTGCTGGCTAAGGGCGTGAAGCACTGGGGCGACCGGGGCCAGGGGTCCTTTCCTGGGCTGCTAGTGGCTGCCGCAGGAACCTGGGACATCCCAAGGTAACGCAGCACGGCGCGAGACAAGGTACGAGAGGTACGTATCTTCCCTTCCCCTCTGTCTCCCCATCCTTTCTGTCTGAGATTGTTCGTTTAGGTAAGGCAGTGCGTCTAGGTACGTATATTTACAAGGTACCTCAATACTTACCTACCTGCCTACCTGATAGAGCACGAGGTCGGTACGTATCTTCTCCGCCTTCCCATTTCCCAGGTTGCACACCATGAATAGCATCACTACTGCTACAGTTCCTACATCGCTCACAGACCACGAGGCTCACTAGTGCCTCTTGCGCACGGCATTGGCTCGAGTGGCGGCGGCGGCGGCAGCAGCGACGACGATGATAAAAACACAACCCATCTTGTCAGGGCTGCTACTTGCCTAGCTAGCGGGCGGGTATTGCTAGTGCGGTCTCGTCCACGGCATCTTCTGCACAACACACCGGATACCATCTTTCCATGTACCATTGTGCCCTGGGCTGGAGAGGGGGGGGGGGGGGGGTGGGCGAAAGTGTATTGCAACACTAAGCCGCCGCCATTGAAGAGAACTTGGACTGGTGCCCGTCCTTGAATTCATTTGTTGTTGTTTTAGAGCTGCGGCATTGCGGCGCTGGAAGGGTGCGGGAGGGGAGGGTTAACTGCCTGTTCCAAGGAGCCGTTGGCCTACCATAGAGGCAGGCAGGCGATCAGTCAGTCATTGAGGTAATCAGTGACTAGGTATGCTCACGTATGAGCCGTCTCGTGTGCTTGGGCCGGCCCTTGAATCATTAGTCTGCGATGAGCGAGCCCTGGCACCTGCAGCATAGGAGGAAAAGAACAGCCTGGACTAGACTAGCATCGGCGCAGTGCTGTGCCTGGTGCCGTTGACGAGCCTTGGAGCTCTTGCCGCCGCTCATGAGCGTTGCCGCCAACAGATGCGAATGGACGAAGCTGACTGGCCCCCTCATCAGTCTGTACCATCACGTACAGATAGTCAAGGGCTGGCAGCGCAAGTGGGGCGCCCAGTCTTTGTGGAGAAGAGAGACGAAAGAGTGGGGTTTCTTCCTCTACCTACCTGTATCCGTACTTCTTCTTAATTTTTTCCCTTCCTCCTTACCCTTGCCAAGTTGGTGTGAGTGATCCATGAGGGAAGGGAGTGTGTGGGCTTGCATCGTGACTGGAGCATGCTTTGCGAAAGGTGACCGGGGTTTTATTAATAGAAAAAGTCCGCGGTTCCACCCCCCCCCCTCATCCTAGGTCGTACTTGTGTGTGTGTGGTGGTGCTTGCGCCTTGCGTCGTCCGCCGGCGCCAATTATGAACCAATGAGAGCTTCGCTAGAGCTGATTTCGGCTTGGCTGTGTGCAGGCAAGGCAGGATGGATTCATTTCATTTTTTGATGGTTTTCATTTGGCCCATGGCGTCCGTCATGTGTGTACCGTCTTTGCGTTGGAAAAGAGGCCTTGTCACCCTGCTGAGCCCGTCTCTCTGCTTCCGAATCCGCACTTACGGAAAGCACACGTCCGGTTGGACATGGGTTTGGGAGGGGTTTCTAGCTGAGAAGAGGCTACTCAGCACTACTCCTGCAGATATAACCCGTCGTTTCCACTTTGCGGTCCCTCCCTCGCCACTGAGCCATGCTGCTGCTGCTGTTGCGTCTGTTACTAGTATGACAAAATGGATCTGCTGCCAGGGCCGCCTCCGCTGTTTCCATCTCTCTCTCTCTCTCTCTCTCTCTCTCTCTGTGTCTCTCTCTCACTTCCCAACGTCTCAGAAACAGGAAAGAAGCGCCATTTGCGTGTGCAGTGTGCCGTCACAAACAACCAACATCAGCACACACGGGTCACAGCTATTGCAAACATATGCGCGAGCGACACTCGGACACTAACTGGTTTCTGTGGTACTGGCGGGCCGAGAAGAACGTATACTCGAAAGAAGATGACAGGACCTGTCAGGAGTAAGCCTCTCGTTGCTCGAGCGTCAGCTGACGAGCCTTGCGACTCATCGACCGCCCCCCCAAGACTTGATTATTGTTCCTTCTTTTCGACCCGGGCACCCTCGGCCGCCTCGACGCGGCTGTTTGATCTCTCGCTCTTGGCCCCAGTGTTTCCGAATGTCCCAGCCTGTCTGACGGTGATGTGCCTCCTAGGCATGGGAGACACCTCTTGGCGTCCTGTGCTCTTTATCTCTAGTGTATCCCTCTCTTCTACATCGCACTTGGTGTGCTTCGACCCAGTTCCATCCTTGCAAACAGATACCGAGACTCTTGTGCCGGCTGCCTCTCTTTTGGAGTTGCTAGACCCGGTGAAATTCCAACATTCATGACACACCCGTTCCCTGCCGCCAAAGAAAGAAAGATCGTCCAGTAAGGATGCCTCGGAGAGAGTCCGACCGACAATCCCTTCTTTCGGCCGGGTTCGTGGGTTCGTCGTATGTCAAGTCAGGATATCTTTGGAAATGTCGATTGCAGATCATTCCATCATTCCACGGTTCCCAGACTCCACAGCACCATGCCGCAGAGCCCAACATGATATCTCTGGTTCTTCATCTGCTGCAGTCCATGCAAATCCTCGACGGTTCGAACACACATAGCACGAGCTCGGGTGATCAAAAAGATGGCCGCGTTTCCTTACTACTACCATACGGCAACCGACCTTTTTTTCTTCTTCTCCTTCACCCGAGTGCGTAGCTACCCTACCCCAGCATCAAGGGGCCAGCCAGCCACTTCTTTAGCTGCCCGCCGAGCCCTGTCCCCCCCTCCCTTGAGCAAAGTCTAGAACATGTCCCGGATCGAGCCCCCTTCCTTCCCGTCAGCGGGCTGGCGATGGGCTCGCGCTGACAGGGCCTGTCTGCTGCGCGTGTCGTCTTGTCCTCTCTGGATGCGACGTCCACACAGCCAACGAACCAACCTCTGGTTTCAGTTTGAGCCACCGTCGTGGAAGCCGCCATCGCCATCTTCTCCGTGGCTCCGGTATTAGCCACCAAACCCATTGATTGTTACTGGGCGCCGCACAAACTCTCCCAGCATTGATTCCACTCTGCACCCCGGGCGGCAAAAGCTACGACCAGTAAACTTTCACCGTACCAATCGCATATAAACACTTGAACCAACTTCTCGGTCAGGCCGCCAGTGGTTCCCGCCCCATCTGCAGTGCCCATGTGCGTTGTCGCCATGGATCGAGGGAGCGGCCATTCCGTGGGTCTGATTTGTTGGAAATATCGACATACGACGATTGCCTTGATCACGCTGACCGTTTCGGTAGTATTGGTATGGAGAGGGCCAGGGATCCGATCTTAACTTTCTTCTTACGTATGCCTGCCACTGCATCTCCATCCGTCCCGAACAAAGGGCACAACAATAGGTACATATCCGCTTTGAGGCTCGCGCTAACATTGCACTGCACCGCGGCCGGCTCGCTCACAGTGTGGCGCAGACCGCATACGTGTATGCCGGCGGCCGACCGATGATGGGGAGTCCCCGTCTCGGAAATCCCAACATCGTCTCGAATCTGTCAATCTGGGATCCGCGATGTCAAACCGCGGACGGGGCGGTGGCATCTTCCCAGGGCTAAAGGTTCACAAGTGATTCGCTTTGCTGCTTCTGTAGGTAGGCAGGTAGGTAAGCACAGGTGGCTTCATTTTGGAGAAGGGGGATGTTTCATCGCGCATCAGCATCCGGGCATCGTGGCATGCGAGGAGCAGAGACAGGATGGGAAAGCCACACCCAAAGGCAGCATTTCATGGTTCCTGGGCGGCGTTCACGGTGACCGAGTAGGTATCTAGATGGCTGGCTCGTTTGTGCACCATTCTGTGCCGTACCGTGTACCACGTAAGCCAGACTGGAAACCGCATTTGCCAAGCAGAGGAATCCTTCCGACGGACCCTACCCTTAACAAAATCCCTGCTAAGCTTGCTAAGGGGTATGCCAAGGCATGGGACTGCTTGTATCGTACAGGTAGGTTCCTCCTTCCTGGATGATAGCTTCACCTGACGAGCGGCAACCATAACGATGAACATTGTCTCTCTACCAGACTTGGGACCAATATAGTTTAATAGTTGTTGCTCGTATATGCGCTCGCTGTGAACTATTTAGTCTCACCGTTGGTTAATCTCCCTGTCTAGAGATGGGGTAACCCACCGATTCGTCCCATGTCCCTCTGCCTCGCTCTCCACACCCCCTAGGGAGGTAAAGGAAAACACCATCGTCATTCTTTACATCATTCATTCCTCACAGAATAAGTCAAGCAAGAAATATATATAAGTTAAAACCAAAATAAAAGACGACGCTGGCGTTGACTGAGGACGCATGAGATGTACGGTGGAGGCGACGAGAAAGGAGGGCGCTCTGGTGTTTGATACAACTCTGCCTCCCCCTGCCAAGGCCTGGCAAGGCCCGGCAGAGCCTCCTTTGTTCGATCGTCGCATGAACCCGGATTTTGTTTCTTTTGACGAGCGCAGCGGCGGTACCGTCTGGACACAGATGGCGGGCGGCCCTCTCCCCGTTTCGCTGCGACAGCCCCTTCCCTTTCCTTGCCTTTCCCCCCTCCAAAGACAAGCCGGCAGTTGGTTCGGTCGTCGCTGCCACTCATTCATTTTCGGACTTATTATGTGGGTCCATCATGACCGTTCAAGGGGGTCCCGCTGTTTCAGAAATTGCCAAGGCGTCGAGGAATAGCATAGCTTCAAATTTCGACCAAAGGCAAGCAGGGGCCCGATGCTCCTAATCTCCCAAGCGCAGCCACCACGATTGGAACGCTGCGTGGGCTGGTGGGCACTCCCGGATCGAGACGCCCATTGGATGCTGTACAGCAGCTCCACAAGATCGCTGCCAAAGACAGCGTGTGAACAGCACAAGATTGCCTCGAACGATCTCTTGCCGCGTTCCTTCAGCGGGATTCCCAAGCCACAGGAGCAATACCAGACATGGCCGGCGAGGGGACAGGGGAGGAAGACGGAAGTAAGGAAGGAGAAACAGAAGGTTTGAGAATCACACTAGTCTCGTCATCGCATTTGTCGCATCCTCCTCGCGCCTTCCTACTAGGTAGTTTTCTTGAAATTGCGATGGACTGATGGGCAGGTGTGACTGCACCGAAAGCAAACAAGAGCAGGTGCAGGAGCAGCACCTCGGCATGGCAGGGGGTGGGGCAGGCGCGCAGTCTACTAGGTAGTAGGGTCGTGCCTAAAGGGAAGAGGAAGGAAAGAGCTGGTTTCTCAGTTGTTGCTTTTTTTTGCGCAAGCATCATCAGCGAGTGGCAGTGACAGCAAGCGCAACTGACCAACTGCCGTCCGAATGAGACACATGAGGAAAACAATAGCAGGCGCCAATTCCGAAAAGTCGGTCTGGGACAGGGAACATCCCATCCTATTCCGCCTCTTCTGCCATTTTCCCTCCTTTTCACGCGCACAAACGTCGTTCGTTACCTAGGAAGTTATTCGTGCACGCGTCTATTTTGGGCGCCTATTTTTTCCAGCAAATCACCAGCCTCCAGGTCGACCCTTTCTCGGCCCACGGCCACTGACTCTTCCTTATTTATTCCACCGGCCGTTATTGCTCCTCGAGCTGCGAAGGACCTCGGCCCCCGGCCGACGAGTTCCGATGGAGCGGATCTTCGCCTGAAGAGGGAATCGGGCTCCGAAAACCCTTCAATGTCGTTAAACTGAACACCCCTTGCCGCAGTCTGTGTCACCCGTTGCGTTGCACCCAGAGTCCGGGGCTGTTCAACCTGCCCGCCTTCAATTTTAAAACTGATGACGACGGATACTACGAATGGTTACACTCAACGTGTGCCGCACGGGTGCGCACAAGTCAGTCACCCCCGTCTGATGAGCCTAATCAAATAGGCTTCGGGTATGAGGGCAGAGGCGTCGATCCTACTTGCACATCCAAACAACGACGCGAGAGGCAGGAAATTTCGCGAAATTTACCCGCTCTCACTACCGCAATCTTCTCTTCCCTGCCGGGCCCGCCCGCAAAGGAAGATGAATCAAATCATGAAAACTCACGATCGCCGTTCCGGCTCGCAATAGATTCTGTCATTTGGCCTCGACTCTGTTGTGTCCCGAAATAACCGTAATTTACTGCGGGATAATGAGCATGCGTTTCGTCTCCGTGCTGGCGTATGCGGACGCCAGCACGCGCATAATGGTAATATCCACAAGGCAGCTGTTGGCAAAGCTAAGCCACCCGCTTCAACGTGTAGGCCTTGAGCGGCAGATCCGCGCCTGTCAAGACGGCACACTGGAACCAGAGGAGGAGGAGGAGGAGGAGGAGGAGGAGGAGGAGGAGGAGGAGGAGGAGAAGGAGGATCTTGGGTCACCAAACGAACCGAGACCTCTATCAACTCCCTCGACGATATGTCTGCCCGATCTCGATCCCCCATTTGAGGGGATTCGGGCCTGCAACCTCCACCCCGTCGGCCCTCGTCCCTATTCATTCGTATGCCCGCAAACGATGCTTCAACTGCCCAACAACCGTGAACCCATGCCATACCGCGGGGATCTAGGAACCGTACCTCGGATCCCAGCTCGTGTGTAATTTGAAGGGGCCCTGCTCAACCGAGCCTCAAATCTGTTACCGTTTTGGGACGACACCTGGTCCAGGGATTGCTTGTTGCTCCTCAGCCTACTGCCCCGTCGCCCCAGCAATGCAAGACGACGAGGGCATTGACCAGCCCGCTCGCCATCTGGGTCAACACCTATCTCTCTCTCTCTCTCTCTCTCTCTCTCTCTTCCTGGGTCGTCGGGGTTGTGACCCCCTCTTTCTCTATTTCGTCTCCGTCTCGTCGCATCAAACCACCCTGCACGAGCGCGCATGTGGTTTTCAGCCCTGGGAGGCGGACGCGCTCTGCTTCATGCACCACGGTTCCCCCGGCTTGTCTTCTTTCTATCTGTATCTCCTTACATCGGTGCAACAGAATACCACGTATACGTAATCTACTTCGCCCTATCTCCCAAGACGCTCCAGCTCTCCATGAAAACCCAGTTTAGAGTTGTCGCGGCTCGAGCTGAGCCTTGTCGTCATCTGGACGATCTCGAACATCCGTCGCGTCGGAGGTTGACAGGCAGAGGACCTTATCGTTCCACCACCGGCCACATCATCAAATGACACTGAAGCCACCGACTGCAGCTCGAAAAATCTGAAGAAGCGGATCGAACGCGCGTGATGCCCGGCACCATGGTGGTCCCCAACCTTCTCCAGCCCCTGCCCGTAGCCGTAGCGTGGCCCCTTCGGGAAATCAAAGCACCCTGGCACAGGTACGAAACTGGCGACATGCCGTTTCAGCATCTCTCGCCCACGAACCACGTCGCTCTGGCGACTGTGAACGACAGGTTATACGCGAAGACAACAACAGGGGGGGCTGGTGAAATGGTGCGAGCTATACCGGCAGTCTCACAACGCGCGCGGAATATTCGTTTCGAACAGATTCGCCTCTAGGCTAATTACCTGATGCTCTCAAGCCGGCGGGAGATTATCCATTTGGGCTAGTCTTTTGCTACGGACGCTTCATCCGCCGTGTGGTCCCAGCACCCCTTCCTCATCACCGGCCCGTGTGAGACTGCAAATTGCGTGTTGTATCCTTTCCCCCCTGGCACCCGAGATTCGTGACCTAGACGCGCCCATCTCGAACCTTCTCACCACACCAAACCACTGTCTTGGAACACGCGCTACTGCACGGCAAAACTTCTTGTTGGCGCTACTTACTCGTGCGATCCAAGGTCGACACCTGCAACGCGATCAGGACACGATCTTCTTGACGGGGCAATGAACAAAATACCCCGGGTCGGAACCCTCCCCCTCCTTCCGTCTTCTAGCCTGCACACGCAAATTCGGCCTAATACAAAGCAGGGTGGGAGGAGGGGAGGGTTCTGGTCGTTCGTGGGCCGACTTTCGGTGTCCCCTCGTCAGATTCGGCTTCATATATCCGTAAGGCGACGTGATGGCGACGTAGTACGCCTGTCGCCCGCCCGCCCGTCTTGTCTGCTAATTGAGGCAGAGGGCATCTAGGCAGTCAAACTCGTTGTCTGCCTAGCGGCCTATATAGTTCACTAGGTTCAGACCGGCCTTCTGGTCATTCTATTCTTCCGCGATCCGCGACATACCTACCATATCCGGAAGGTCTTGTCTGAGATGTGGTGATTAATCTCTCCTCGCCATCACCGCGGATGCCTCAACGGCTGGCGGCTGCGAAACCCCAGGCGCGTATCTCTCTCTCGCTCTTCCTCGCTCTTCCTCGCTCTCCCTCGCTCTCTGTCTGTGTGTGTGTCTTGGCTAAGAGACGTCGGCTTCTTGATCCTTTTTTCCCATTGCGTTTGGCTTCGGGCATCCATGTTAGGGTGTTTGCGTGTACCTGTGCGAACTTAAGCTTTTGTGTATGTACGTTAGTCGGCCTCTTGACATATGTTCATCACCATCCGGACTTCCCCGTTCACGCTGACGAATCTCCGGGGATTAGTAGACCATGTTCGTATTTCTAGAGTTTCCCGCGACGAAGAACTGGCTCCGCGCGGGTTGAAGGGAAACGATGCCGGAGAAGAGCAGAAAAGCGCGGCGGGGGAGTGACGTTAAAGCAAAGAAGGGTTAGTGGGGTGAAGGCAAGTAGAGGTATACGCAGCAGAGGCCTCTTGCGAGGTCGACGTGAGCGGCGCGCCGACCTCCGTCCTTCCGTCCCTTCCCCCCTGGATCCCCGACGCCGATCGAAGGGGAGGGGGCGGCTGGGGGCGCCCGAAAGAACCGGGGAGCCCGGCAATGGAACTACGGCAGCCGGCTTGCCTTACCGGTCATGACTCGGCTTTTTTTTCCCCTTCCTTTTTCTTCCTTTTCGTTTTGATGTGCCGGGCTAGGCCGTTTTGAGGGGAAGGCACCTGGACACGGCGGGTCGGCGGGCTTCCTTTCCGCGCGTAGTCAAGACATGACGAAGAACAAGACCCTGCGGGATCTGGAGGGTTTCGTGGCCCGTTGGGACGACCGGAAAGAACTGCGATGTTTGTCGCGTTTGGCCCCGCGTGTGCTGTTACTGGGTTTGGTCGCAGGCGTCTGTACCATGGCAGAGAGTGCCGTGCTTGGAGTCTCTGCTGTTGGCCGTGTACACGCTCGTCAAAGCCGCGTCACCTGCCGCGTTCCTTCTGTCGTTGGTGATCTGGTATTGGTTTCCGAGCCTGGTGTGCCCAGCCCCCTCTTCCTAAATTACAATATTCATATCGCCATCTCAAGATGTCCTTTTTTCTCTGGAAGATTCGTTATTGAATCGGAGGTCCAGAGGGCGGAGGACCGGACACGGAGAACTATGAGATCCAGACGACTTGTTCCATCTAGTAGAGATGTCAAAGGGCCATAGAGAACCAGACAACACGATCCGGTTGGCACAAACGTACAAACATGGCAGCAACCCATATCCTATACTCAGGCCATCAGCCTGTGAATACATCTCGATTCGCATGCATAGCGCTATAGAGCTGGTGTGATCTATCAAGACTAGGCTTCAACCAAACCGGTTTGCGATGGAGAGTTTCGATCAGATCCTAAACTTTCCAGGGACATGTTTATTCAATGGATATGGCTACAAGGCTAGTATCCTCACTGCCATGGGCTGACCTGTTTCACTTTCAAGCATAAACGGCCCAAAAAGACAAGAAGGTGACCTCGTTTCCCGTTGTTCGACTCGTCCGCCTATTTTACACGCCGCAGATATCGCATCGGTGCCCCCCTTTCAAGTTGGGCACGCCTCTCAACTATGATGCATCAAGGCCCGAAGAGTGATCCATAGTAGCATGTTCGAATACTGTACCCCCCTTGAGGAGGCAGTATTGGAAATGCCGTTGCCGTAAACAGCGGAATAGATATCCAGCGTGTGGGCGATCTCTTGAGCATCGAGCTCGCCGTCTTTATCCTAGCCAGCCGACCCGTCAAGAACAGTCGCATTATTACAGCAAGTAAGATAGCTCAGTATAAGATCCGATAAATAGGACGAACAATAGTATGTATCTTCCAAGACACCATTGGATGGGCAGACTCCAGTGGTACGAGCTGCTATGTCGCCTGCCCATCGGATCCAAAACTCGCGCAAGTACAGCTTTAAACGTCCCAAAGGTGAAAAGCATGTCATCCCTGGCTCCTGATATGCTCCCAGTATCGGAGCGTAGTACTCTAAACACTTCATCACTCAGCAGCATGTCAAATCCACCTAGTTTTCCAGATGTTTGCCCGCCAGCTACCCCGGATGCCGTCCTCGAGGCGCCTTCCCACTTGTAACCCTGACTCGGGACTGCCCACGCCACCGTGGCCGTCACTATTTCGGATACCGAAATTCTTCTCGAGAACCGCAGAGTGGCCCCCTCCCCCCGGGGGCATGGGCAGGCTGCCAACGTCTTCGGAGCACCCGGCGAACGATCACGAGCAGGGACAACGAACTGCCCTTTCCCCGCCAAAACAGGCTCGTGCCTCTCCCAAGATACCGACTAGGTAGATTACTCAGGCCGTAGAAGCAGCAGCAGCCCGGACGCTGCAGGACGTCGTCTCTCTGTCTGCTTCCTCGCCCCTGGAACGGCAGCGGCGAACGCGATACGTGGGGCGCCCACCCCCGAATATAGAACAATATTCTAGATCACGCTGTATACGCCTCGCGGACGGGAGGTTCCCGGGTGAACATGTCTCCGCCGGGGGGAGGGGGGGTTGATTTCCCTTCACGGTTCGACCGAGTCAAGAACAGAGACACCCCACCCAAAGACCACGTAGGGATCGTTTCCATGGCACGGGTGATGGGATCGTCCTGGTCGTGTGTTTGCTGCAGGCATCTCCCATCCAAGCCGCCTCTGCTGGCTCGTCCGTCGACCGTCGCAGCAGCCCAACTGGATCACGCACCGCGCACTCTGAGGAGGCGTGAGATCGTCATATCCCCCCTTCCCTCCCCCAGGCGTGTTTGCTGCGTTTTGTAACAGGAGGGGTAACGCCGGATGGCCCCATCCCGCGTGCCACTTTTTTGAACGGGTCTGGCGAGATAAAGGCAGAGATATATCTCGGATCTGCGTGAGCGTTGAAACCCTCTCCTCGAGAACCAATCACCTTTCCCGGCAGCGTAACTTTTTTTCGTCTGTCGTTTCCTTGTGATGGTTAGCCGAGGCGGCTGTGCCCTCCTCAGCCTGAGAAAAACCCTCGCCAATCGTGACACAGAGGGCTGGTGATCAAACAGCCCTGCGAGCCCGTTGGGGGGGGGCTTTTCGCCATGATGTTTCCACCATCGGTCTCGCCCGGAACACACAAAAAATGCATGGCCTGAAAAATTTTCCGACTTTGAGGCTCGTTGGGTAACATGATCGCCAGGGTCCTTGTGCTAGAAACCTCTCATGTGAGCTGCAGGTAGTACAGGGCGAGAGCGGTGTGGGTAACCTCCCGATCGAGTCATGTAGGAATATCCTGGGAGGGAAAAAGAGAGGGAAAAAAAACGAGGAAAAGAAAAGAAGGGGGAGGAAAAAACGCTTGGTTTGAACAACATTGAGTTTCTTGGCCCAGAAGCAAGCCCCGGAGAAGTTGAATAGAGTATCTTGCATCTTGGCAAAACTTTTGGTTTCCTTCACACCTCCGAGTTTGCACCCGGCATGCCGTCTCTTGACTAAGCCCCGAGGCTCACCACACACATCCATCGACGCGCCGTTGGGTGAGGAGGCTTCATGTACTAGATTGATAAGTTGCTGGTTAAAGCTTCATGGTCGACATCCAATAAAAGAACTGGGTTCGTCGGAAAGGCTGGGGCGCGCTGGCTTCGTCGTGACGGCTCTCTCGTTGAAGGCATATATTGCCCGCCATCTTCTATCTCCTGAGCAGCGCAGTCGAGCAGTTCGTGCCGTGACCTCTCGCCATATCAGGGCTGCTTGCAAGATCACAATCTCTCGACGTGTGCGCGTGTCTCACGCCCTTCCGCCCCTCCTGCCTCCGCGACCGCCCCGCCCCTTGTTCGGCGGCGCCCTCATCCGCAACCCTTGGGGCAGCTCCCCGACCTTCTCCCCATCCAGCCAGAGCACGCCGACGCCCGACGTCTCGTCCCTCGCGCGGACCTCCCGGAAGAGCCTCGTCGGCACCCGCCCCTCCTCGTCCCCTTCCGTCAGGACGACCCCGTTCTCGCTGACCCACCACCGCATCCCCTCCTCTTCCCGCAGCGCCCGTTCGACGTCGACGTACACCAGCACCTCGGCGTCCCGACGCATCCCGCTCACGACGCCCTGCTCGTCCCCGGGAAGGCCCGTCGCGAAGTGCACGTGGTTCCTTCCCATCCTCGCCAGGCCCCCGGACTCCTCGATGGCCCTCCAAAAGGCAAAGTAGGTCCCGTGCACCACGACCTCGGGCACGTTGCCCGCATCCAAGGTGATGGGAGTCAAGAGGCCCGCCGAGTCGACCTTGATGCTGTGGCCCTGGTTCGCTCGGATTAGCCAGTGCGAGGGTTCGGTCGACTTCTCGTCCAGCGACGGGTTCGTCACGGCGTTGGGCTTGAGGGCGAAGCGCTGCTTGTCCGACGTCGTTACGGCGGCCTGTATGTCGGCGAAGCTGACCTGCAGCGAGCGGATGGGACCATAGGCGAGCTATGAATGGTGTTAGCGGTGATGTGTACACCCAAGTTGTGTGCATGGCCCGGTGGTGAGGTAAAGATAGGTGAAGCGTAGGCGGCAAGGCCGCCCGTCCTCCACGCCGGATCGACCCCTTCCCATGGCCGGGCCACCGCATGGAGAATGGAAACAGCTCGTTCTCAGCACCTGGTTCAGATCCAGTGAGACCCAACAGGATCGGTTCTGTGCCGACCGACCTAGAGAGGAACACCATCTCGATGATAAGTAGAGAGATATAGACCCAACACTCACCACCTTGTCCAGCGGCGCATACCCGCCTTCATCAAGCTTCAGCCCAGCGTTCTCGGCCTGGTGCCTCAAAAGCTTGGAAAGAGCCTTGGAAATCAACACCTCCCTAGGCTGCCCGCCTCCCCTTCCGCCTTTGCGTTCCCCTCTTTTCTGCGTTCTGGCCTCGACCGGGACCGCGGCACCCTCGTACTGATCGGCCATTCCGTCTTGCCCCACGACGGAAGACGACGAATTGTGACGTAAAGACAACGATGACAGCCCGAGTTGCTGTGCCGACTGGGGTGATGAGAGATGCCGGGTGAGAGCCGTCTCGTGCGTCGCCAAGCTTCGCCTAGTAGTCTGCGATAGCGGAGTGGCGTGCGTGATGGAGAAGGTCTGCTGCCGCAATTTTCTGGCCTGGCTAAGCGGATGGAATTTATATCGCTTCGAAAAGCAGCCGATGCCTGTTTTCATGTGTTGAGCTTTACGCAGGCTGTCGTGGTTCGTGGCCGTGTCAAGTTGGAGTCGTGAGTGACGAGTTGGAGTTAGGTTTTGGGTCAGGCCCACTGAAAATCCATCCAGTCGGTGATTTTCTCTCAAACCCAAAAGAAAGCCCCCCCTCCTGAGCGATCAGACTTCAGTCGCCGATGAGTCAACGCTGGCTTCTCAAGAACCAAACAAGCGCATATACAACATAGCTCCGAACCCGGACCTCAACATCGGTCACACAGAGCCTTATATCTAGTAACAAAGCGGTCATGGAATGACAACGCAACGGGCTTACAGCTTTTGCAAAAGCCGATTGCTGCGTCTGAATGCACGCACACTTCCAGGGGCCCCTCGCCATCTTCCCGCCTTGCTGATGGACTAGTCAGCTACAGTACTAGGTCCAAAGTCTGGCAACAGCCATAAGGATGGCCCAATCAATAGCGACAGTAGGGTGGGTGCCTTTGGTGGTGCACTGTGAAGTGACCCCCAACCGATGCGTTCCTTCTGTGACTCTTGATTGGGCTGTTCTCGTTGCTGTTGCCAGACTTTTGACCCAGTACTGTAGGCGCGTTCTAGATTCCGTGGTCACGTTTAACTGGAACAATGTTTTGACAAAAATTGCTAGAGACAATCGAGGCCTCTGTCCTTAACCTTTTTTCCCCATTGGCTGTTCGATATACAAATACTCCAGCCTTCCCAAGTGAAGGCGAGCCCAGCAAATCAACCGGCCGTCCGTCATCGATTGTCATACAAGTACAGGGTAACCGCCGCCGAACCCATGCGGTTATAACATATGCCAAACAGGAATGACGCCAGGGAAAGAAAACATCTATGATACATTCATCCGTGTGATTGTGATTCGTTAAGACGTTATCGGTAGCTGCCTGACTGGGCAGCTGTCGATGTGTTCGTTATCGTGCTGTCGCGGTTGGGTCTGCGGCCAATGCTGCTTGCCCGGTTCAGCAGCGACGTGTGGTTGAAGGAGAAGTTCCGAGGCTGCACCACGGCCTGTTGCGGCCGGTCTTCGGTAGGCTTTTCGGAAGAGGAGAACTGTTCGCGTTCGGGGGTGCGCTCGAAATACCGGCGTGTTGCCAGCGACGGCGTAGATGGCGCGACAAGGCGCGACGTGAGGGACGATACCCCAAGCCGTCTGCGAGGGAGGGCGGAAGAAGTAGGTGATGACGCTTCGTTTGAAGCAGTCTGGGCGTGGTAAGTATGGGAGACGGCGCGAATTGGTGTGGTGAGCTCCGTCGCAGCTCGTGAGGGTGCACGGAGTCGGGATTCGTCGTCTGCGTCCTCACCAGCAGTGAGCCGGCGTGACCGGAGCAACGAGGTTTGACGACCACTCTCGCGCGAATCCTCCGGCTCCTCGGTGCCTGCTCGCCGAGTTCTCAAGAGCATCGAAGACCTCCGGCCATCTTCGGGCTCCTCGGTAACCGCACGACGAGGCCGGCCGATAAACAAAGACGACTTCCGCTGGGCCGCCTTATTGCCGTCTCCGGGGGTATTCGGTATTGTCCCGGGCGGTAGAGCATATCTGGGGCTAGGCAGCGAGCTCGAGCCCAACATGGTGCTGCGCCTCTCCTCATATTTGGACAGGGCCCTGGGGCTGGTGACTGCGTTGGCGTTTGGCTTGGGCAGTGCTTGCTGTTCCATTGTCAGGCTATGGCGTCGTTGAGCAGCTCCGCCGGTAAGCGTCTTGGTGACCGTCGGGGTAGAAGGAGTTGTTGTCTCCTTGGGGGTGGGCACGTTGACTTGAATAGTCCTGTTTCCTGCCGCTTCCTCGCTCAGTGCCAGAACCAGCTCAGTCAGACTCCGACAGATGCTATCGGCCTTGCGTCGCAACTGGCGATCGGTCAGGTTCGTGCCCATACCAATGGTGCTTGCGCCGCTCGAAATGGGACCCGGCTGACCTGCCGTACCCATCATATTGGCGAGTGCCAGAGCGTCTTTGGCGGCCGCCTCAAGCGCCCGGGCTACTTCGTCGCTAAGGAAGGGCTTGGATTTGCTGACGGCAGAGAGCAGGATGGGCTGTTGGGTTTCGCGCTGCGAAGATGTGGTGCTGACAGCATCCTGGTAAGGATGGTTGCTGCCAGAGGTTCGTTTCGGTGAAGTGGACATGGTGGTATTGGTGGCGGTTGGCGGGCGTTCATCCGAGGCTCGAGACATTGCGGCGCCCGAGGTTGCAGGCAGCTTGCCGGTCAGTTCTAGCCGGTGGATTCGCGACTTGAGATCGTCCAATTCGTCCCACACAGTCGAAGGTGCGTTCGTTGAGGCCGTTGCTGTCGACTCTGTGCCCTCGACCCCGTGATTAGTATCATGCTGCGCTTCAGTGCGCGGGGATTCCGTCGACTTAGGGACCAGCGGTGAGGAGTTATATGTGCGTGTTTGGCCGTATGAGAGGTTCGATTGTCTATATGCCGAACTTCGGGCGGCGAGGCCAGCGTTGTTGTCGGTCAGCGAGGGCCGCCGCCGCGCATATGGCGAGTTCTCGCCCATCGGATCTTGGAAGGTGAAGGATCGGGGCGTGCTGACGGTCGAACGACTGGCCGACTGACTGGCAGAGTGGAAGGTTTTTGCACGTCCGAGGTCCTCGGCAGGATGGTTAGATGCTGGGCGATCTCGAGTCAGGGGCGATCGGTATGCCAACGCGCGTGTCGTTGGATCGGCGGCACCCTCGTCCTCGGATTGTCGCACACGCTTTTTCGAGGTCTCCTGCTGGTCGGAAAGGCGACGACTGAGATGGGGAGGCGAGACGGGATGGTGATATGAAAAGGGGACGGCGGCGGATAGTGGGCGGCGGTGGAAAGATCTCGCAACACGGCTCTGCTGGTCATCTTCAGTCAGCTCACGATCGTCCATGGCAAAACCCTGTGCGCAGGTGTCCAGGACGCTGGGGGTGGCCGGCGCGGGAAATGTGAGAAACGAGAGTGCGCTAAGAGACCATCGGGCACATGCGGGGGATTGATTGGGGGAAGGGAAAAAAAGAAAAAAAAAAAAAGACCGGGATGAACAACCAAGATACGAGAGGAGGGGGGGAGGCTTGATACTATGGCGAGTAGACAGCAGCCGTTGCAGAGCACGGCCATTTGTATCGCGCTAACATGACTTCCCGAAACAACAACGCAACTCCATGAAAGGTGGCTAAACTTACTACGGTACTTGGCTGTTCCGCCGGCGCAACATCGCCAGAGCCACGACGGGTTGGCTCTTGTCTAGCGATCTTCATAAAGACGTCACCGGTGGTGTCGTCGGCTTCGGCCGACAACGGCGGTGTCATTTGCGAATAATCGTCGTCACGTCTGCCTTCGAGTGCGCGCAAGGTGCGGTCGCGTTGGTTTGAGTCGGTGGATTCATCACCAAAGTCGAAAGACCGCATCGTAGAGGTACTGCTGTCGAGTCCCAGACTTCGACGAGAGCCGGATGATCGAAAAGAGCGGATGGGGGCGACGCGCACCGAGGTGGTCGGGGTGCTTGCGGTAGTGGCTTTGAAGGAAACAGGCGGTCGCGACGTTCCTGATCTTCGTTTCTCATCTGTCGGACTCGAGTTTTGCAAGGTTTTTGGCAGCAGCAGTTCACGCTGTCCCTGGGCCCAGTCCTTTGTCGTACTATCGGCCGGGGATCGAGGACTGCTGTCGGCCGTGTCAAAGGAATGCGTGGGATTAGTCACTACAAGGGGTGACTTGAGGCCAGTCGCATTTGACTCGCGGGACCGAGATGCAGCGGCTCGTCGAGTTTGCAATCCAGTGGGAAGGGCCGACGCTTTGGACTCTGATACGTCGCCGTGGGGTGGAAAGGACAGCACGATGACGGGATAAGAGGCGGTTCGCCGGGGTGAGATGACCGTGTTGGCAGGGGTCGGCTGGGAAGCAGTCGACGCTCTGGATCGCGGACCGAGTTTGTGAGGCGACTCGGGCAACTCGCGGATGGGGCTCGGATTGCGAGGCGAGAGGGGTTGGGGAAGTTGGCGGGAAGAGCGGCCGTTGTGGGTCGGTCGGAGTGAAGTCGACGGAGTGTCTTGTTGTTGTGGGCAGTTAGTGTCGGATTCGGCGTTGTTATGTTGTGGTTGCTGGTGTTCCTGCAAGTCTGACGTTGTTGGCAGGGCGGTGGGAGAGGCGGTGTCGGTAGCGGTGGTAATGCCAACGCCAAAATCAGAGTCAGCGACGGTGGCAGCAGAGTGGTTTTGGTTGGTGGCGTGTTGGGGTTTAGGCGAGATGGGCGAGGGCGGGTTGTGCTGCAACAGTGAGGGGAGCACTAGGCGTAGGGATGGGTGCTGCTGGTGCAAGTCGGCGAGTCGAAAGGTGGGAAGTTTGGATGAGTTGTGGCTTAGTCGATGGGCGTGGTAGGGTGAGGAGTGCGGATTTGCTGAAGATGTCGCAGGGACGGAGGTGGTATGGAATGCGACGGCGCTCTGCGAGGAGAATGAGGATGAAAAAGATGCGGGCGCGGACGCGGATGCGGATACCGAAGCAGAAGACGACAATGTGGAATCCAGAGTTGGGGCATGGCCCGCAGCTTCGAAACCACCTCCTTGTGCTGCTGCCGCTGCTGTTGTTGTTGTTGCTGCTGCGGCCGTGGCCATTGTCGCGTCCTGGGTCTCCCTGTGCCGGGACTTTCACACTGACTGTTTCTCAGTCAGGATCTCGGGGATCCGCTTTCGCGTTCGCTTCGCTCGCTGCGCCTATGAGTTGGCCAGGGCTTGTTGGCTCTTTCCCCCCTTCCGGTTTTTTTCCCTTTCCCTATTCTTACTCGCTTCCCCCCCCGTCTGTTCCCTGAGCATGCACTGGAGAACAGCACTTTTCCTTATCTGCCTCTGACTGACCCCGGTCCAGCCAAAGTAAACGAACGGCTGTTCTATTAGGAATCCACCCTACCAAAAGTTGAGTCTTGGGTGGCCAGTGGGTGGCGCCGCGCGGTATGTGCGTCTGCAGCTAGTCGTTCGTGGATAAACGTGTATCGTTATTTCTTTTCGTCCTCTCAAGGAGACTGCTTTTTTTTTCAGTCCCTTTTTAGTGATTCCCCGCCGCTGAAGTTTTTATGATTTCGGACACGTTGCTCCTCTTGTTGGTGCTCACTGTCCAGATTGCTGACTCTGTAAAGTCTTTCTCGGGTCTCTTTCTTCTCTCGAACTTGTTTCCCTCTCTCGTGATGTTGCGCAATCCGTGGGCGTCGGGATGGGTCGTTGGTCTTGTTGATTAGGAATTAGCGGTTTCTGCGGTACAGTGCGTCTGTTAGGATCGTCCATCAGGCGTATGCACGTCGGCGCTCAGTGTAAGCGTCTTCGCCAGTCGTCGTGTGACTTGTCGGAATATGTGGGTGTTAGTGACTCGGGAAATGCGAGAGTATTCGTAAGGGAGGGAGCGGGAGCGTATTAGAGGCTGTCGTCGGACTGGTCGAATCGAATGGGAAATCCAAGGAGTGGTGACGGACGCTGGCGTTCTTGGTGCAATGGACAAGCCGATTATGATATAGAGGAGTGGATAGATTAAAGAGAGGGCGAGAGGGTAAGAGAGATAGAAACGGAGAGATAAAGAGCGAGGTTTGAGTTGGCTGCAAGGGCTTGGGTAATTAGTATTAAACAGGAGGAAAGAGCGTCGTGAACATGTGCAAGTGCGAGTGCGGGCCGGAGGGGTGCGTGAGCAGGCAAGTGCTGATCTCCTCGTCTGGTGGTGTGAGTGGTATGGCCCTGAAGAGGGAAAGTGAGATACCGATGCAGTCAGTCGGCGATTAAGTGATGGATAGAGAAGGACGGAGAGAAGAGAAGACAGTTGACTAAAAAAAGATACGAGAGGAAAAATGAGGGAGAAGTTCGCCGACTCGTCTTTCCTAATGTTCGCACGAGGTGACTACCGGTAGTGTAGTCTTTTTTTTTTTTCTTTTCTAATCTTTTCTTTCGATTCTACGGAGCTACTCTCCTGAGGCTTTTCTTCGATGGAGCTGCAAAGGGTACGGGCACGAATACCTGGGTAGGTACCTCAGGTATCTCGTCGGCCACCGCCCTTCCTGTTCCAGGTCCGCCCTCATATCCATATCCGTCCGTGGGTTGAGTCGCGGTGCTTTCCGTCTTCCAGACTCCAGTGAAGAAGACAAGGTACCTCCTCTCTTGTGCGTACCTTACCTAGGTAGGTAGGTACTTCCGTTCCATGTCACCTGTTTCTAACTGATCGTTTCGTTTGGGCGCTGGCATCTATAGGTACATCTATCTCCGCATACATGCCCACCACCACGGAGCATTATCATCACATCTCGACTTGCATCGTACCGGCCAAACACGCCTTCTGGTTCCAACGGAATTATATCCTGAAGCCCATAAAGCCACAGCAGCCTGCTAGCCAATCTCCTCGTGCCTGTCTGCCTACAAATATGCTTATTCTTCCACTTGGACTCGGACCGATGATTCAACCCAGAGCGCAAAGCACGTTCCGTGCCTTCTCTCACCTGACGAAGACCCGTGCCAGCAGCAGCAGCACACATATCACCTACATCCAAATACGGATATGCACCACACAACGCGCCACCCGGACGAGGCCAGCAGGCGGACGCGTGGAGACACAGGGCGGGGCCGTTGATGCACCCCCGCCGCTTCTTCTGCAGACATGAACCTGGTCGTCCAGGGGTTCAAGGACCCAATCGCTAGCTCACCGCTCTCACCGTTGGCTCGTCGATCGCCATCCGCCTGTCATACAGTCATACTGAGTATCTGTCGTCGAGCGCCTTGGACACGATGGATTTCAGATATAAGGGGCTCTCGTCTTTGGCCCGTTTGCTAAGTGCTTTCAACTTACTTCCCTTGTTCTGCAAAGGCTTCCACCCGTCTCCGCCGCCGCTGAGGAAACCAAACAATACCAATGCCGTTTTGGTGGGGAAGCTGCAGGGAGCTTCAGCACTTTCATCTGGACAAATGAGATGCGACAATACCTCGTGTACGCCATCAGGGGTCTTTGTGTGTCGCTTGCAGCTTGACGATTCGAGGTGGCTGGCTGACGACTAGTGTAGTCAACAACCCATTGGAAATAGGGGGACTGACTAATTCAGCGCCGTGCGCAAGGCGTCCTCGACCAAACCACCGCTGATGGCCGTCGCCTTAGTGCTCGCGCGACGTCAGTTTCGAGGACGCCAAGTGGTCACGGGCTTTTGCAGTAGTGGGCTGTCTCAAATATGGACTGCCGCCTCTGCTACCGAGCTACCGCCTTTCACCATTTCAATAAGCGGGTGCAAGTCAGGACATGTCGGCAGCCTTCTTCTCTCTCGCATCGGCAATAAAACAAAACAGGGGGCTGGGCGAGGCCCTCTGCCCAAGAGACATGACCTGGCGTTGCGTCCACTCGCGAACCTGAGAAATGATATTAAGCCCACCTATGGGCACAGGATACGCGCAGACTCCGCTGCTCGACCATGGCAACCGGGGCCTAGGTGGTTGACAGCTGCCTGCCATAGCTGTCTATTGTGTATTGTGTGTGTCGTCGGTACGCTCAGTGCTCCCCATCGAATCTCAATGGCCTCCAACCTAGTCGGCACCAATGCGACATACCGGACGAGGCCCGAGTTCTTCTCCTCAGAACCCACATCGAATCTTAAAAACTTTTGCTAAGCCTCAACATCCGAGACCTGGCATGGTTACGCCAGAACGGGCTCTACTGAGTACGTCTTCAAAGCGATCCCTCTGAAGGTTGCACCGAAGGGCTCTACTAAGGAGAACGCAGCCCCTGGGGTGGGGTCTGCAGGGGCTACACAGTACTTGACTCTCCCACGTGCAGAACGACTGAAACATACGCCATCGCAGCATGCAGCCCGATCTCACTGTGGCACTCTCGCTTCCTGCACTCGGTCCGTTGGGGTGTAATCAGTGTCAGACACCGGCTCCTTGGTCTGTTGATGTGATGCTGAATCCGACACGATGTCGACTTTCCTGCTGGGCTAAACTTCGTCGTGATCAACTTTAGTGGCCGTAGGTCTGTTGCGCTCATCGTAAGAGAGGAGACGCTAATTGCGCAGATCCTCCTCAACCCCCAAGGCATGATCCAGGCAAACCTTGGCGAGGTGCAAAACTATCAGCCCGGCACGGCTTGGACAGGAAACGCAACACCCATGGTCGTCAACACCAAGTTTACTGCTCCAACGTCCAGGGTCCGAGACGCACAAGGCATCCAATGAATTGTGAAGAAAATTAATTATACAGTCGCAGAAACATACCTAATGTCAACAGCCGCGCGCAGAAACGTCAACACGTCACTCTTTCTGTCAAATACAGTATCTACCTCAAAAAAACCACTAACTTTGAGACCGGGATGACTTGAGCAGAGGTGCAGAGGGCTTAGTCGCAGATGCATGTAATTTAGAGCAAAAAAGTTATGCAGCTAGACCGAAGTTTATTTCGCGGCGCAAGCACAGATCGTCTGAACAAAGATGCTGGCTTCACGTACCCATAGGCCCTAAGGTCGCTCCGTGTCTCTCTTTGAGAGCCAAGGAGAACAACCATGAATCTTTTAAATCCCGGTAGATAGTCATCAGACGCAATTCAGAGACACAGAAATTCATGCAGAGACTGAACTTCCCAAGACGGTGCTTTGCCCCTTTTTGACATGCTAGAAAAAATGCCACCTCATCTCAGCCTGTTGCAGCGCGCACGGATGGTCCAACTTCAAAAACCAAACACCAAGCCAGGAGAAACCGTCTCATCTGGAACGCCCGGCCCAAGGCTTGTCAGCAACGGGAACAACGGATGAGCCGACCATCATACTGTGGAGTCCAGCTCGAGTCTCTCTGAGGTCGAAAGAGCATTGTTCCCTCGCCGCAAGCAGGGATGTCCGCAGCCGCACGGGCTCAGCATTTGCGACGGGTTACTTACGTGCTTACCTAGGTACGTGCCAATAGGATGAACTGAGGCCCTACTCCCCTTCGTAAACTCTTACTCGCAGATGGAAGATCGGACACTTGGCGCCACACTTGGGTCGGCATCCCCGGCGCTGCTTTGCATCCACGAGGGCCCGGACCCTTGACCGGCACGCCGGAGCCGGAGCCGGATCTTGATATACTCTGGGGATGGTTCCTGGGATTATCAGAAGTCCGTTGATGACTTGCCAACTATATACCAGGAGCGGGCGCTTTGGGCCCGAGGCGGAGCGTACCAGGAAGAAGATCAATGGGTGCCCCCTGGGGCGCGGAACGAACCAGCAAAGCGCGCGGTTCATGGTTTGCCATTGATGCTCGTGTTGCCGAAGTGCCTTCCTGTTCCGTCGGCATAACCAGGCTTGCACCCGGCTTACCATGGCGATCCTCTACGTGGATCGGCTTGGGTTCCTAGATCCCGACGCGGCCGTGGGGTTAACCCGGGCGTTATTTTGGTTCCGAGTCGACATTGCTTCTTTACTATGTGAGAGAAAAACCAACCGCCTTGTGCCAAATCTGCCAGACCTCGCACCAGGGACCAAATGTCCAGACCCGAGCACAAAACCTCGAAAACCATATCTACCTAGGAAGTTCGGCTCACTGGAGGGACGCCCCTGCAACTTTATCGGCATTCGTTGCTTCGACGAGTCTAGAGTGTCGTGAATGTCTCGATGGTTCTAGAGCTAGTTGCTCTATTATCGTTACCACTGGTCCCTCGGCACCGGTAGACAGTGATCTTTGAACCAGAATAGCCTTTCTTTCCGGACTGTCTATTGAGGGAAACCCTCCTAGTCATGAATGTAATCCCAAGAGTGGCGCTCCCTCCCATGCCCCTGGATTTCTGCTCCTTGAATAATACGCCGGAACCAAAAACCAATAAGCAGTCTGCAAAATTGGCACACAATTGGCACGCGAAGATGCCCAAATCCTTCATTAATATACCCATCGGCGCTGCCTGCCATGGATAACATCACGGTCCATTACCCCCTAGCAACCTCTTAGCCTTCCTGTTCCTCTCTTCCTGCTCGTGGAGCAGCCATGCCAGAATATGCTCGGACATGCGGTCCTTTGCTGCCCTCTTCGTCAGGACCTTGTTGACGGTACCCAGGTCTTCCGGCACGCGCAGGTCGTTGCTAAAGTCCGCACAGCCGTTCCAGAAGTCGCCCCCAGGCACCGTCGTGTCTTGGGTGAGCCTGTAATGGGGCACCGGGTATTTTAGGCGGCTGCACAGCTCGCGGACCCTCTGGGTCGCCGAGAGTTCCGAGGAGTTGGAGGTCGCTGGCAGGGGTATGGCTATGGGGACGCCGGCTGAGGGGGTGCTTGCGGAGGACGTTGTCGTGGACGAGGAGGCTGAGGTGGACGCCGACGCCGACGCTAGTTCTTTGGCGGGAGATGGTCGTCTCGCGACGTCGGGCGCGCCGGTCTCGCCATCGTTGCTGTCGCGGGGGGAGGCTCTTGCGGGCTGGTTGTCCTGCCTCTTTCTCGCCGCCGCAGTCGAGGAGCCGTCGACCCCGACGGGGGGCGAGCTGGGCGGCGACCTCTTGGCGGGGAGGACGGACACCGACGGGGAAGCGGAAGCGCCGGCGGGCAAGGGAACCGGCGCAAAGGCCTTGGGCAGCTTCGGTAGATCGCCCGAGGGGAGCATATGGCCGTTGTCGATGAGCCACTTGCAGGCCGTCATGGCGGCGTACTGCTTCGCGTCCTGCTTCCGCGGGAAGTCCGGGACGGTCGCGCCGGCGGCGGTGTCCACGCCGTAGCCCGGTCGGGGAAAGACGTCGCCGGTGCTGGTGAACGCCGCCGTGCACGCCCAGCGTAGCTCCGGGGCCTTCCCGAGGCGGGGGTGCTCGCGGGGCGCGTCTTTGAATGTGATCTTTTGGCTCCTAACCTGCTGAAAATCTGCAACCGAGGCCCGCCCCCTTCCGTGTCAGTTAAAGGTCCGTTGAGCTACAATACTATGTGGGGAAGGTGTTATCCCGATACGTACGGTTCAGTAGACCAAGCCAGTTTTCACTGCCGAGATCCGGGTCCAATCGCGGAGCCGGGCGAAGGAGCACGGCGATGGCCTCAGCCTCCATCTCACTCAGCGGAGCAGGGCGGCCGTTTTCGGCCTCGAACCGTTCCTTTTCTGCAATATATGACTTGAGGGCCGCCCAGTCTACGCCCTGGGCAGGTGCGCCGGTAAGCGACGGGGCTGACATGGCGGTCGATCAGGCTGCCTGCGTTCGATCGGGGGGGGGGGGGGGCGGCGGGCGATGTGAGAGAAGTGTCAGTTGCTACGTAGCGGGGTGCGCCGGCGTGTGAGGAGCATTCATATAAATCCGGGGAGGCCAAGTATGGTAAAAGCAGGGCGAAAGAAGTGCAGACTGTTCTTGACGGAGAAGTGCGAATGCTTGTGGGGTTGCTTCCCCTCAAACCGCTTCGTTGGCTGGGGCTCATGCGGGAGGCCGCGGGCTCTGCCTCCGGGCGACGTCTTCGCGTATGTTTCGTTTGGAGATACAAATGGAAGTTGGAGCTAATGATTTGCTGGATGGTAATTAATAGAGTGCCTGACTCCTTTTCAGGCTGGTTGGTGGAGGTTGCTTTAAGTTTGAGAATGGAAAAAGGGTTGGTTTTCACTACCCGTCTACCTAAACTCAGCTAGGTAGACCGGTGCTCACATCGGATGACATGTACTCTCGACACTCCCTGCGAGGAGAGGTGCCGTCGGGATGCCTGCAGAACGGTTCTCTGGGAGAAATCATTATCGACTGTTATTCCATTGACGGCGATCCCAGAATAGCTTTCTTTAGAGGGTATACAAATGGCAACCGAAACGCTCAACACCATGCCTATGCTTTTTCTTCTTCTTCTTCTTCTCTTTCCTCCTGCTCTTTGCGGGCTGTCCTCTCCGCATTTCGCAGTTTCATTCGAAGAAGCCCGTGCCGTCGTCCTCCTCGTCCGCCTTTATCGGGGCCTTCCGCTCCTGCGCCCTGCGCTCCCTCCTGTTCATCGGCTGTTTGGGATCCTTCGCCTTCGCCTTCGCGTCGCTCCACGTCTTCTTCGACCGCGCCAACCACGGATCCTCCTCCCTTGCCCGCACCGGCCGCTGCGTCCGCTGTGGCAGGGGCTGCCTCTGGTGCGGGGCCGCGTCCGCCGCCGACTTGCGGTCGCGCAGTCTGTACAGCGCCGCCTCGCCCTCCGGTAGTATCTTCTCGACGGTGGCCCACATCTTTGGCCGCTCGGCGTGAAGGGCCCGCAGGGCCTTGGGCTGCTTGAATGGCTTCGCGTCAGCTTCGGGCTTGTCCTCGTCCCCGCCCTCCTGAGCCTGTTCTCCGTCCTCGCCCTTCTTGTCCTTGTTGGGATACAGGCTCTCGTAGCGTTCCATCAGGGGAAAGAAGCGGGCGTAGGCGACGTCGACCTCGGCGACGTGGGCCTCGGCTTCGAGGCGCTTCTTCTCTTCAGGGTCTTCGGTCTGCTGGAGCTTCTTGCAGAGCTGCTTGAGGAGTCTCTCTGCCTTTTTCCGTTCTAAATGCATCGCAAGTCAATGAGCCGAACGCATCCTGGAAACCCATATGCGCACGCAACGCGGCGTGATTTGGGGGGGGGGTTCACGTACCAAAGAACCGAACCATGTGGTACTTCTGGATCATGTGGCTCCGCCTCTTTCTGAAGTCGTGCTCCTCGACCTTCTCCTGCAACGCCTCGAGCTCCTGCTCCAGCTCATTGCGCTTCGTAGCTGGAAGCTCCTTGCCGCTCTGCAGTAGTCTCCGGATGGCTCTCGCGCGGGTCTTGTTCCAACTGGTCGTGCCCTCCTTTGCCTTGTGCTTCTTCCGGGTGGCCTTAAATCTTTTGTGGTCGTGTTGACCGTCTTCTGAGCCCGGGGAGTTGCTGCGCTGATCATCCGGCTGCGCGCCTTCTGAGTCCACTTCGGAGTGCACTCGTTTTGTGCCCATTGCTTTTGTGATTGTGGTCTGACCGGGACTCTGTTCTGGTTGGGGATGTGGACGTTTATGGGGATGCGTTGTTGATGGTTTCGCGGGTTCCCATTTCAAAAATTTGGTTCGTTATCGCGGCCTGGAGGGTGCCGACCCCACCCGGATATGCTTATCTTTCCATTTAGGGACTAGCTCTGAAGACGACCCACCTGAGCCAATGACAGGTCCCAATTACAACGCTCACTGAACTGTCGGCGAAGCTATTCCGCCCAAGGTCCAGTGATTCGAGGTGCCCGACTGACACCTGCGAGCACTCGCGCCAACCTCCCCTTCAAATAACTCTGAAGGCCACTGAATCCTGCATTCCGGGGGCGATTTCTGTATAAAAGCTGTCTTGGGCTTCCGCCATACTCGGCTGATCTCCTCACACTTGGCATCAAGCGCAGCTCATCCACTCAACTCAGGTACCTCGAAGCGGTCGAGCACTGTTTCAAACTCGAGCCGTTAGCGCCGACTCTCGATTTGAGTCGAATTTGCACAACGACCAGTCCCGAGACATATTCAGAGTTCAGGCGCGCGCGGCCGCCATGGACCGCCCGGAGCCTGGACTGATCAAGTGGTCGCAGATTTCTGGCTACGACAGCTTCATCCACATCAACCTCCAGCATCGCATCGTGCAGCTGTATGAGCCCAGCGGGCTCGCACAAAGAAGCCGGTTCGACTATTCGAGGCTCTCGAAACATGATGACTTTCCCACACTCACCACGTACGACTGGTCGCCGACGGTTCCTGGCCTGCTGGCCGTTGGCACCCAGACCGGCGTCGTCAACCTGCTGAGGATGGACGACAATTCCAACGCCTATATCGAGCTTAACCTTAAGATGACGAGAACGTGTCAGGCGGTGGCATTCAGCACCGACGGCCTCCTCGCGGTCGGCTTGGACCGAGTGCGGATGGACCAGTGCCTCCACATATGGGACGTCAACCGGCTGTCGACCATGAACAAGACTGCCAAAGGTTTCCCGAAAGACCTGCACGCCTTCGCAGACCCTGCCTACCGGTTGGAGCCTAGTGTGTCAGTGTCGAGCGTCAAGTTCTTTGAGGACAACCCAAAGACCCTGGTGGCTGGGATCAAGGCCCAAGGCCTGCGCATCCATGATTTACGAGGTAGTTGCCCATGGCCCACGTCAACGTACAGAGCGACTAACACGTTACGTACGTAGAACCCAACAGTGTTGTCTGCACGTTCCAGACAAAATGCAACAACAACCTGGCCATCGATTACGCTGACCAGAACTACTTCGCGTCTTCCGCGCTGGACCAACCTGGCATTATGATCTGGGACAGACGCGCGACATCTCGGCCAGTCGCTTCGCCGTCCTACCTGGGCGCGATTGAAGAAGATGACCTCCCGTGGGGCGGTGCCCTGAGGCTCGACCGAGTGGTCGAGATGGACGATGACCCATCTCTGAGCGAAAGCAAGCACTCCATCGTCCGCTCCCTGCGCTACTGCCGGGATCGTCGGGGGCTTCTGGCCGTGCTGTCTCGGTCAGGTCAGCTGAAGGTTTTGGAGACGAACAAGGAGATCACGCCTCGCGATATGTCTCTGGAGGGCAGCCCGGAGCTTCTGGAAGTGCACAAATCCCACGACATGGATGTCCAATACCGTGACAGCGGCCGGAAGAACGATCGGATTGTGTCTTTTGACTGGGTGACACTGGACTCGCCTGTGCTGCAACCTCGCCTTTTGGTCCTACGCGCCAACGGCATCTTTGAGATTCTCGAGCAACCGTCGTATACCTCCGATTACTTGTACAAGCTTACGCCATGGCAGCCGCCCCATCGAGGGCTAGAAGGTATGTTGGGTAGCTCATCTATCGGACCGACCGAATCCTGATGTCATGTAGAGGGGGCTGCGTACCACAGCATCATGGAGTTTGAGCCATCACAGGCCTCCGACATGCTCGGTCCGTTGTTTGTCGAGGAAGCGCTTTCGGACATTCCCATATTTGGCCCCAACAAAGCCGACGTTCAGTCCATTGTGGACACGACATTGCAGTCCAAGTTTTCGGCCGCCGAACTCAGCAGCAGGCTGGTTGGGAACACGGGCAAGGCCACTCCGGCACTCGACAGATCCAAGCCAACGGCAGAGAGAATGCGGGCTCTGAGGTCGGAGCTTAAGGAAAGGGCCAAGGACTCGGAGGGTAACGGAACCGAGAGCTCAATCATCATGGAGGAGTCGATCAGCTCACTTGCCCAGTTGTCCATCTCTCGGGAAGGGCCGGTGTCTTGTCGTCACATGCATGAATCGCTGCTTTCTCTACCACTGAAAGCGACGGACTTGTCGACTGAGGCCCAGTGCCTTCTCGACCACGTTATGCTTCTCCGCGCCAAAGAGAAGTACCTTCTTGACTGCAATGTCAACCGCACGGTGGTATCGGATGATCCGTGGTTGCGCTATGTGTGGGACTGGGTTGCTGGTAAGTGTCAAGGACGGTTCGTTGTTATAGTCGCTAATGAAATGCAGATGCGGAAGATGCGGCGTTAGACGGAGGCATGAAGCTGTCGCCACTCGATCTCAGCTACATGGGGGTCTGCACAATTTGGACCGATGACCTGGGTTTGTAGAGCGTGGTTTTTCTTACTCCGGAATGTGACTGACACCACTGCAGGTCGGAAGCCCTCTACAAGACTTCCGGAGGCGTCACCCATCCCAGAAACAACCCTGTGGGAGAAGTGCATCGGGAGTATCTGCAAAAAGCGGGGATTGCCAAAGTACGAAGGCATACAGACCAGAAAACCATTTCACAGGCAACTGTGCCTAGACATTTGCGGTTGGGGAGACACTGCGGCACACGAAGCCAGGGGGGCAGCGGCGCATGATCCCAGTCAAGATTACCCAACGACGGCGCACACAATGGCGGCAGCCCGAGCTGTCTTTAAGGGCGACACGAAAGAGGCAATCCAGATCCTCAAGACGGCGAGCGTCACCCACCCGGAGCTGCTGTTCGTCTCACTGGCGTTGCAACTCATCGGAAGGAGCGACAACCACCTTAGCAAGGAGCAGCTCGATTTCGACGAAGCGGTGGCGTCGAAAACGGACCCGTATCTCAGGGCGATGTCGTCGTTGATCGCCACGGGCGACTGGTCCGCCATCGCCAACCAAGATTCGTTGCCCCTGTCGGATCGGGTTTACGTTGCAGTTCGAAATTTTGACGACGAGCAGCTCACCAAGTGGCTCCACAAGCAGGTCGCCATGGCAGTAGAGACTGGAGACATTGAGGGCATCGTTCTCACGGGAATCACGGACAGGCTGGTGGACATCTTTGCTAGATACGTCGAGAAGTTCAATGACTTCCAGACGGCGGCGCTAGTCACATCGATATGCGCGCCACGTTACATTGACGATTACCGGTGCCTGGCGTGGAGGAACGCGTACAGGTCGTATCTGCAACGGCACAAGGCATTCCTCCAAAGAACCAAGTTCGAGGTGGAGAGCACGAAGAAGAGCAAGCGCGAGGAGCGCGGGCGGCCCACGATCAAGCCGCCGTCTCGCCAAATCGCGCTGCGGTGCGTGTATTGTGACGCTGAGACGACGCTCGCTGGGCAAGGCGGGGCCGGGTCAGGGCCGCCGCCTGGGGGGCCGGATTCGAGAAATCCCCTGATGGCGACGAGCATCAACGCGGGAATCAGCTGCCCGAACTGCGGCCGCCACCTGCCGCGGTGTGTGGTTTGCCTGGAGGTGGTGGGGGTTCCGAGGTCTGACCGGCCTGAGGTCAACGGCGAGCCGGAGGTGTGGATGGCGGCCAACTTCCCAACGTTTTGTCTGAAGTGCGAACATGTACTGCATCTCGACCATGCGAGGCAGTGGTTCACGAGGCACGTCGAGTGCCCGGTCCCCGAGTGCCGGTGTCGATGCAATTTCAGGGCGAACCCGGAACTTAACTATCACTAATCACGGGGCGAGAGGCAACGGGCAGAGGGGCAGCAGGGCATGGTACAAGGGGGCCAGTCCGGCCACAACCGCAGCAGTGTTTTGTAGACTGACGGGCGCAGGCGTTATATGTCAAAGTGAGCTGCCGGGGGGTTTTCGGGTGGGAAAGGGGGAAAGGGGGTTGTTTTCTTTTTGCTTGCTTTTCTGATAGTCGTGCCGGAAGACGTATGGTACGACCATGCTTCTGCAGCCGCTTGCTGTCTGCAAGGCTCACCGGAACACCGGAAGCAGGGGAGGGTGTCACGGAGAATTCGAACCCTGTCGCCAGTCAAGTCGGTTTGCATATCGTCCCGTAACGGCTTGTACACTCCGGGTACCGTGTCCCCCGGCCGTGGCCCTGACGCCAGAGAAAGGTCCAATATTAAATGAGGCATATTGCCGCTAAATCCCTCGAGGATGTGGGTGCAGGATTGGGCGACGGCAACTCGGTGAGGGATGGACTTGTCACATTCGGAGCCGGGCTGCAGCTTGATCGATCACCTGCGCATCTCCCCAGTTGACCGGCGGGTGGGATGCTACCTTACGTTGCCGGATACTGCCCGTTGCAGTGTTCCGGTCAATGACCTGGTCCACACCACAAAGTATTCAAGGCATGGTTCGGTACGTGGGTGGCATGTGCTGGCCACCCATTCCCTTGAGGCTTTCGCAACACTAGTGTGCGTGTGGTGTGTGTGTGTGTGTGTGTGTGTGTGTGTGTACTGCGGTTAGGCATGTCAGAGTAGGGGAGGGGAAGAATGAGAAGTGAGATGTGAGCTTTGGATGATGATGGCGGTTGACAGGGGGGTCTACTGCGTACACGGACACAGATACTCCCAAGGGTATATGGATGGAAACAGCAACGCAACCACTAAACCCGAGTCGGCCCACATCCTTCAGCACCTTATGGCATAGCGCGCGGGCTTCGGAACACCCAGTTACCTAGCACTCGGGTGAAAAAAAACAAAACAGGATACCTTTTACCTACCTACCACTACTACCACCACCGTCACGATGGGCTACCCAGCTCTTGATACACTTAAAAAAAAAAAAAGGCACGATTACGAGGCGCTCATGAATTTCTCGAGGTCAGAAGTATCAAATACAGGAAAGAAAGAAAAAAGAAGTTTTTGCCCACTTTGGACGGGGTATTGAATTGCTGGAAGTTGTGGTGTTTTGGTGGTGTTGGAAAAAGGGTATCCTGTTTTTTTCCCCACCACCCGAGTGCCTGCCTAGGTAAATGTAGGTAGGTATCTGTAGCGTGCAAATTAATCACGGTGCGCAAGAGTAACCGTGAGCGCTTACCCCGGTCGAGTATCCCCGAGGTACCTACGAATACCCCCCGTATTACTACTCTTTCCCCTTCCAGTGGGGGAAGGAGTTCAGTTTTGCCATTCTTGCCTGCCCCCCGGCTGCCCTCGGCTTTCCGCCCGCGGTCGGCTTGCTGGGTTCTTGTGGCAGGCAGGCAGGTAGGTCACTGTGGCCGTCTTATTTGCCTCGGTAGGCCCGGACAGGGTTGATAGCGTTGGTTTGAGGGATCACAGAGCACACGGGGAACTGGCCCGGGCTCTTGCTCGACACTCTTAGTTGAACGACATCTTCAACCAACCTACCCTCTTCGCCAAGGGGGGAGGGGTGTCAGTCCCGTCCTCGTATCCGTACACTGTTTCCATGGATGGTTGCCGTTCCTTTGCCTGCAGCATCCACGTATCCTCGTCCTGCTCCCACACCCGGCCCAACCGAGCCAACTTCTTTCTCTCCATCACATCCCGCCCCAATTTACAGATACTGACTTGATCACCACCGCCACACCACCGAGCTTTGTCTGGCCTTACTGTGCTTACCTCACCTTGCCTTGCTGTGGCCGGCCTTCGCGCCTCGTCTCACGGTCCTCACTTTATCCCGGAACCGACACACATCCCGTTCGACTCGAGTCTGAACACGACAGCACCCGACCCATACTTTTTTTTTTTTCTTGCTGTTCCGTCCTGGTTCCGCGGCCGCTCTTACCTCCCTTTCCTGCCGCTCAGCCAGGGTTGCGACGCGCCGCCCGCCACAAATATGTCATTGCAGGTAATCTATGTCGCCCGCCATGGTGTAAGTCCCCATCCTCCAATGCTCCATTCCGTCTTGTCACATCCGGCTTCATCTCCGAGACGGACGTTCTCGACACCAATGAGGACGAGGGTGGGATCCAACAGACGAGAATCCTGTGCAAAGTTCCTCCCTCCCACGGAGGCCAAGCCCGCTCGCTTGGGAAAACAAGCCCCCCCCCCCCCCCCCCAACGATAGCAGTGGGCCGGCGAGCAAGGGCTCGCGCTGCACCGTCAACGTTGGAGGCATCCTTTTGTTGGTCTGATGAAGAAGACTGACGATAGCCTTGGCGCCCCTTACTCAGTTCAGGTCCAACTGGCTTGTCGACCCGTCCACGGGCAGCTACACGGCGTCCATCCCCTCCCCGACAGGAATCCCCGCCGACCCGGAACTGACAGCACACGGCGTCGACCAAGCCAAGGAGCTGGGCGCCCACCTGCTGACCGTTGACCCTTCAATCGAAGCCGTCTACTCCAGCCCCTACTACCGCTGCCTGCAAACCATTACGCCTTTCGTAGCCCTCAAGCAGGAACGCCTCAACCGCCTCGCGGGACAGGACGTTGGCGCCAACGACGCCGAGACTGTCACCATCCGCCCCGAGCATGGACTCTCTGAGTGGTATGGTGCTGCACCCTTCGAGCACCCGACCCCGGCCTCGTCCGACGTGCTGAAGTCCATGTTTCCTCACCTCGATACCACGTACCAGAGTGCAGTCTTTCCCGCCCGCAAAGGCGAGACCATCGCTCAATTGCATGACCGTATTGCGGCCGCAGTCCAAGCCATCATTGACCGATGCGACGCCGAGGGCAAGCGCGCCGTCGTCCTGTGCTCGCACGCTGCCTCCATCATTGCCCTTGGACGAGTGCTTACCGGCGTCATGCCCGACAATGTCGATGTGGAGGACTTCCGAGCCTTTACCTGCGGCTTGAGCGTGTACCGGAGGAGATCACATTCTTCCTCGGCACAGACTTCAGGAACCCAAGGTAGGATGCGAATCCTTACGTCATCGGCTTACACTGCGGGCCCTCGGATTGACTGACAACGGGGACCAACAGGGCCGGATTCGGACACCAGCTCATGGAGAAACGGTCGGGGAGTTGGAGGTGGGTGGGTTTGCGAGCTCAACAGCGACTGCAGCTTCTTGAGCGGAGGAGAAGAGAGGGGATGGTAAGATGGAATTCCCGCCGCCCACCCGCGCGTGCACCACCCGCACACTGATTTCACCAATAAGGCCCCCCAGCCAAGCCCTTCCTCACCCTTGCCGCCGCCATTGCAATGCGGAACACACAAGGCCGCTGGGGAGGGGCTGCCCACCCCACCCTTTCTTCCTTCTTCTTTGCCCACTCGCGCCGCCGCCGCCCGGAGAGGGTCGAGACGCTGTGCTGTGTTTGGATGGAAGCTGACACACCAAACCATATATAGGAGGTTCTCGGGAGATGAGTCCTTTTCCACGCCCGAAAACTCGTCGCAGGCGGCCGACGCTGGAGTAGCACTCGGTGTGGTGGTGGAAGGAAAAGTGAAACCGGACAAGGTGTCTTCTTCTCCCAAAGCTGCAGGTCATCATCGTCTCTAGGAAAGCGGATTTATTGACCGGGTGGCGGCGTCCATCGTCATTTGCATTTGCTTTTTTCCCTCCTCATTCTCTAGAGACCAATTCCTCGATCTCAGCTCAAAGGGTCAAAAAGGGTCGAGGGGGGGGGGGGGGTCCTGCTTCTCTGACCTGGCCAGAGACTGATCCGCACCACCCGTATCCTTGCGGCCGATACACGATGACAGCTAATGCCGGATAGACTTGCCTAGCTGCTGCGGGATGCATCATTTGCATATCTGTGGCGTAGCCTTGGTAGCATAGAATCTGCGAGCCAGTTTACCACAGCGGCTAGCCCCGAATCCCTGACAGAAGAACCCCTGTCGTTTTCATCCCACATCTGCCACACCATTTCATCGCTCCCATCGTTCCCCTCCCCTCCTCTCCCCCCCTTCTCTCTATCTTTTTCTCTGCGACCCCCCTTCCTTTTCTGGTTTACTGCCGTTCCGGGCTCGCGTTCCGCCATCCGATCTTTCCCCAGCCAGATTGGCTCGTTGAGTTGAAGAACCTAATCTCATAAAGGCAGTCTCTAGCGTTCAATGTCTATCCTGTGTTATGAGCACATGCAAGACGATTGGCGTGCTTGTATCTTGCGTCTCGCCTCGCCCGCTGCTGTTTCCTAGCTGGCTCGATCCCTTGACGGCTTTGAATCTCGGGAAGGCTCTGCGATGGGGCTCGCTGGCGAATCCTCGACCATCGGCTGGGTTTTCATCACAGCGCAGATCCGTCTCTCTCTCTCTCTCTCTCTCTCTCTCTTCTTTTTTTCCTTTTTTGTTCTTTTTTTTTTTCCCTTTTCCCTTTTCTTCCTCGCACCCGCTGTCACCTCCGCAGCAGCCCTGGCCATCGGCGGGACCATGCCTGGCGCACCAGAGAGTGGATATTCGCATACGGGACAATGGCCGACAACGGAATGAAGGGTTGGATTTTGGTATTACGCTTTGCTGAAGAAGACAGCCTTTGCATGCCTATGCCGTGGGCGTTGCCCGCAAAGCAATCTATCTCTCCCAAAGTGGGAAGCCGAGTCAGGAGTGTGACCGCCCTTTGATGAACACGACAACAACGACCGGCAGGCGGGCTCATTTGATTGCCTGCCGGTCTCAACATTGATCCATCGCTTTGCTTTGGACAACACTCATCCTGGAAGATTCGATCTAGCAGCAACGCGGGGTTCGATCGGGGGCGATGCATCTTCCGAACCGGCCAGCTGGTGTCTTTCCCGAGACCCCCAGCATCATCTTCGGATACCTGTCTCGATACCGGCCTCCCTAGCGGTGTAGGCTCGCATTGCCCGATTCAGCCGCTCGATGAAGAGCGTTCCTGTCGAACCGTGAGATTTACACGGGGCGTGTTACCAGTGGCCACGCTATGTTCCGTCTCGCAATTACGCAACATGGTCGATTCCCCAAGCTGCAGTCCGTGGCAGCTCATGATCATCTTACATAGGTCAAAAGAGCGGTGGACCAAGGCAGTCACGCGTCGGAAGGAGATGGAGGGGTTGGGAAGGGCTCACCGTTCTTCTTATGAGAGGCTCTGCCATGGAACAGGCCTCGAGCGATGGCAACCTTTGACTAACGCGCATGTACTTTCACCCAGCTGCAGAAGACGGGCGATTGCGGAGCGCGGGCCTGTGACACACCTGGCAGTCGATGACATACAGCCTCCAATGCACGACATGGCGGGAGGCGATGGCAAACTATGGACACTTTCTTAATCGGGCGGCATGCCTTAGTCAATCATGGCCCTAACCCGGCTAAGGGGCCTATCGGTTTCGTATCATTGATGAGAGCGTTGGTCTTACGAGATCCACGGCTAGGCCCCAAAAGAAAAGGTAAGAAAAGTAAGTACGACGGCTGGCCATACGTACGCAGGGCGGAACATTTGAATTGAGGTGGTATTATTGCCCGCAACTCAGGCCACTATGTAACGGGAGCATCTGCAGAGAGCAGGATTGGGCAAACCAGGAGGGCTCTCGGCCGATGCGAAGAAAGGCTGAAAGACTCGTTGAGATAGCTCGCCATCACCTTGAGCTTGTATGAAGCCAAAGGCGACGGCATCAACAGACGACCTCGCGGGCTCACGTTCCGTCAACTTGGCGTCTCTACCCGTTCTGGGCCGACGAGTGGCGTCGAGGCATCCTGCGCGAGGGCGGGGGGGGGGGACCAACGTTGCCAAATAAGCGGCAAGCACCCATTCAGTCCAGTACGGATCAAAGATGGTGCTTATCGAAAGGATATGCAAAAACAATGGGGTATGCGTGTGTCTGATGCGTTGGACTGCTCGTGTTGCAGAAGGGGGACGAGACGATCAAGGCGGTCGGTCGATTCCAGAGTTTGTGAAAACACAACAGCAAGGCAACAATATCGACGACAATAACTGAGGGTGGTCCAAAGAGAACCAAGCTTTTGCCAGGGTCTGAAATGGATAGTCTGGGGCTTCAAGGTCTTTCTACCCATGGCGACTGCTGCCTGGGTTGGCCGGAAGTTCGCCAGAGCGGTAAAAGCCCAAGTGGAAAAGAAACGCCATACTACATCGTGGCGAAACCCCCTGCATCTCAAACTTGGTCCGCATCGTCGCGTGGCTTTGACAAAGGGAGGAAGATGGCTAAGATTAACAGCGCGCTTGAATGAAAGTCTAGTGAAGAGTCCAGCCGAGACGAGACAGGGAAGAAGGCGTTCACCCTCTCTGGCTGCGGAATAAGAAACATGGGGTGCTCGTTGGTTGGCCAGACGTTGATATGGCTGGTAACGGGCTCACAGACGAATGGCCAGGCCAGGACAGGGCAGGCTGCATGCTAACACAAGTCGATTGACCGTTATGGCATTGTGCTGGACATGGGCTTTTAGTCTGGTCCGGATCGCGGTGGCTTTTCTCCACCTGGAAGGCTTTTGAGACCGACGACCTCGTCTTTTACACTACCTACCTAGTCACCGAAATCTGCGGCGGCGGCGATGTGTTTGTTATTCCTACCCTCTCGGACCATGGATGAAGATCCAGATGCGCTCATCTGGGCCACGCCCACTTGTGCATACTATTGATACCGACACACCTCCCCCAAACTTTTCCTCCCACACCTACCCTGGTCGATACCAACTTGACCCTACCCAATCTTGCCAACTTCCTGACTTCTCGCCCTCTCACTCACACACTCTCTCTTGAGCCAGGCTTTGGTAGCCCTCTTCAGTCGGTCCCCGCAAGCCCGCAAGCGGAGTGTACGGGTGGTCGGTCGAGACTATCTACCCAGACACCACGGCGGCCCCACAAACCGTCTTCCTAGACCCTAGACGACGGCGGTAAGGCGGCTGCACTCAACGACTACCGCGTGGCCGTCCACTGGCGGCCTTCCATCGAACCCTCTCCCCCCTCTCACCAGCGGGTACCGATGTCTGTCGCTCCCAAATCAGAAATGCATCTCAGACAACAAGCTGAGATGCTACGAGGGGCATTTCCTGCGAGATTTAAGGGCGGGTATATGTGTGTCTGTGTGAGTGGGGGCAGGCGGCCAGTAAAGATGCCTGTCCTGCCCGTCCTGCCCGTTCTGCACCAGAGAATCACACCGACTTTGGCTTAACATTATTCAGTATTGCTGCGGAGGCAGTTTACCATGCCGCAAACACTCGAGAGAAGACACGAAGGAACATGCGAGAGCGTCAGGGCCTGGCATCAATGTTACCAAATAGCGACGACAATGGCCACACCATGTCGACGACCATCGGAGCAAACGCCAATGCTTGGGTTGTCCAAGGGGGGGGGGCAACTGGACCAGGGCAGCTACTATTATTACAGCTACCAGAATCTCGGAAAGAGAATGCCCCAACCGAGTCCTACCTGTCCTGTCGTCTTCGAGTCAGCTTGTGGAGGGGGAGGACTCATGAGTAGATCCAATCGCAGCCTCATGTTAGTCCAACAGCAAATGAGGCTTCGGGTCGCACAAAGCAAAGCGGACATGCCATGCCTGGCCGTGCCTTGCTCCCAAGTATGCCCAAGATCACACTCCCTCTTACACCCCACTCATGTTCAGACACATACACACACACTCTCGCTTTCTCGGTCTTGCAAAGCCCCTTGGCTAGGTGGGCGGGCATTGAGCATGTGTGAGTGTGTGGGTGTGGGTGACCGTCTCCACCGTGTATACCCACACCACCAGTGTCTCGATTGAGATCGTTCGTCACTCGTCTCTGCTACGTCCGGAAGACAGTGGAACTCACAGCAAGGCCCCCGGAAGACTGCGACCTCACGCACCAGTTGTGACGCGCAGCTACGATCTAAGACTAGCGCCCCTGGAGGAGAATATCGACTGTGCAGCATGTCCCGAATACTACTTCCACCCGCCCACCATAATCACCTTCTCATTCTCACACTGACACCCAGGGCCTGCCTGCACCACAGACCGGACTATCCCCTTCATTACTCTGTATGCGCTGTCGTCTCGACCATTGGGCGACCTCATTTCGAAGGCCGGATAATCCAACTCGCTCGGCTCCCTCCCTTGCGAACTGGCGAGCTTCTCGACCCCGCCCGCCTGCGGGCGCCACTCCTTCGATGCCTCACGCCTCTCCGCCGTCTCAGAGCATCTCATCCGCCATCAGTCTTGCATGCCCGACCAATGCTTCGTCATTCCCAAACAGACCATGACCCTGTTTGCTGCATATCCCGATTCATTGGCGGTGGCGTGAGGTTGGTTGGTATCGAGGGTGTGTGCGTGTGTGGTTTTCCATGTATGGAAATAGCCACTTGCACAATTGGATGAAAAGAAGCGCACGCATAGGGTGAGATAGAGCGTCCATCCTTCAAAGGTCTCTCCCCCATATGACGAACCAGGATCAGGGCCTGGAGGGGGGCACCCGGCGCCAGCCCATACTAGACAGATTGGGCGACCTGCAGGAGGTACATGCCATGGATCTACACATTTGGCTACGTCTGCACATAGCAAGCTTAGTACCGAAGAAAAATAAGAAACGGCCTCTCGCTGTCAGAATGCCACCAGGCGGAGCCTGATCTCCCTGGCCCTTACTTGGAGCTACAGTGTAACCGCAAACCTAGCCTGCTTTTCTCTCACTCCCTCTCTCTCTCTCTCTCACTCTCGAACCCTCTCACTCCCTCTCACACTCTCACCCTCTCACTCTCGAACCCCCCCCCCCCCGGGCCACAACCAGGGTCCCGGCTCGTTGCTTTCCCGACTGTGTTGTACAACCAGCCAGGCCGGGAAAAAAGAGATATAACAGAGACAGAGATCCATCGCGGACGGGAACTTGATAGTCAGGGTCTGACCCGTTGTCGATGACTCGTCTCGTATCTCTTCACTCCCCGATTAACATACACCTACCTGCCTTCGCCCCTCCCGCAACAACAGCATCTGTCCTCTGCAACAGTTCTTCATCGATAGGACAGAGATCTCGGCAGGTGTCCGGCATCACCTGTGTCCTCTTGCGGTTGGGAATACGTTCCAATCTGATCAAAACGCCTCTCACTTCTCACTTGGTACCGTCCTCGACTTTCCACCTTGCCTCCCTGCAACGCCAACGTCAGACATCCGGCATGTTCGTCAGCTTACAAGAACACCATCAGCACGGCATGGACCGCCTACCGCCGCCCATGGGCTACAGCCAGGCCCGCAACGACGAGGTGCCGAGAGTGCTTCCCAGCCTCTCGTCATTCACCTTCGACGACAGGATGGACGTGGACAGCCGCAGCAACAGCATCAGCAGCAGCATCAACAACAACGACCGGAAGCCCGGCAAGCGTCACGATGTGGAAGTGGCAACAACACTGGCCTCCATGGCCTCCTTCAACATCAAGTCGCCGACACTCCCCTCGCCTACCCAGAGCTTCACCTCGATCAGGTCAGACGGTAGGCTACATCTAACCAAGACCGTATTGGATGAAGAGCGACGTGAAGCTTACGACAGCGCCCCAGGCATGACGAGATCAACCAACTCCCAATACTCCTCGCCTGAACCCAGGTCACCAGACCTCTCTTCCGTCAACACACAGCTGTCCTTTTCCAAGGACGGCAGCGGCGGCAGCACGGCATCCATCATTACGCTCCCGCGCCTGCGTGAGCTGGACCTCCGGCCCCTCGAGCCCGAGTTCATCCCCAGCCCGAGTTTCCTTCCGCCGTCCTCCACCTCCTCCATCTCAGGGGCGGCGGGACCGCGGCGGAGCAGCCTGGAATCCATCGGCACCTCGTCCTTCACGGAGCCCAGGCTCGAACTCGCCTCCCCGCCGGCCTACCGAATCCCAATGCCCCCGATGGCGTACCCGGACGTCCCCTCCCCGACTCCTGGCGTCTCCCACCACCACCACCACCACCACCACTCCTCTCGTCCTCACCACCCCCACTCTCTCACATCCCCTCGCCGCCTCCAGCACAGGCTGCCAGTGACTGCCCTCCGAACTCCCAACGGCGCTTGCAGCCCCTCCCGTCGGCCCCGCCGCTCGCCCACGGGGTCCCGGTGCAACGTGAAGTACACGATCCAGCAGGTCGACTTCATCGATTACTTCCGCGTCGACCACCACCTCTCCTGGAAGGAGGTCGAGGCCAAGTACGCCGCCGTGTTCCCCGAGGACGCCGCAAAGGGCCACAAGCGCGGCCCGCAAGGCCTGCAAGGCGTCTACTACCGCAAGAACAAGCAGATCCCCGTCACGGACCCCAGCAACCTGCTCGTTTTCGACGAGGACGACAACCCCAAGACGTTCCAGTGCGACGTCCGCGAGCAGGGCAAGAAGATGAACAACTCGATCGGCCTGCTGGGCATGCACCCCGAGCGCGCAATCACCTACCCGTGGGTCTCGGAAGAGCACAAGAGGCAGTACGAAAAGCTTGGTGAGCCCTCCCCCCCCCCCCCTATACACCTTTCTAGGAGAGGAGCAGTGGCTAACAGAGATGAAAGGTCGCGCAAGGCAAGCCCAGCTCGACGCCGCTGAGGCGCGGAAGAAGAGGAGGCGGGCCATCCAGAACAGCCGTCTCTGAGATTCTCCCTCCTCTTCCCCTTTTCTGTTTTAAGCTTCATGGTTTTTTTTTTCTTTCTCTTCTTTTTTCCATGTCTCGATTCACTTCTACCCATGATATCCAAACTTACTCTTTCCCACCCTTTTTCTTTTCTCTTCTGAATCTGTCTTTTTTTCTTCTTCTCTTTCATCTTTCTTTTTGCGCGAGTTCCTCATACTTGACTGGTCAGAGGGGAGTTATTCGGCCATACACACACTACATTTCAATGGCCAACGGGGGTTGCAGGGAGCTCCGGTTGGGGAGTGGGAAGAACTCGGGGATTACACAAGAAGAAAACCAACACCCGCAGTAGCATTTGTTCAACGTGTAAACCACACTCTCAGGTGAGAGAGGGAGAGAGAGAGAGAATACCCCACCCCCACAACAACACTCCCCATCAACGTCCCCCCCCCCGGGAAAAAGAAACAATAAAGAAGAAAGGATGGAAGGCCAACCGAAAAGCACCACAGTGTGTGTTCTCAGGAGCCGCCCCCATCCGTGTACGATGGCCAAAAGACGAGAAGATGTTTGTTCCTCGCAGCCCCCGGGAGTCCCTTCTATCGAAAGGGGGGGAAGGAGGGCGGGAAAATCCAGGCTGGCGAGCAAACAGAGGGCCGGGTCCAGGAGGGAGGGAACAAACAAACAAGAGGGGGATGACCTCCCTCCAAGAATGGTCTTGTCTTCTTGGCCCCTCTCGTTCTCTCTCACCTCTCCCTTTCTGCTTCGTCTTACGTCACGGGGTTCCAACGTGTTGCTCCTTTTTCTTCTTCTTTCTCTCTCTCTCTTCCCATTCTCTATCCCTTCCATCCCGTTAGGTCACACACTCTCAATGGGTTTAGGGAGGGAGGTGGGACACGGCGACGGGGAAATAGACGCATTTACGAATTGGATTTCGATACGCGACGGCGAGAAAGGCAGGGAGCATGGCAATCGGGCAATATAGCAGCGTACACGGGGACAAATGCCAATGACGAAAAGGAGTTGAAAACATTTATTTACTTTTTTTTTTTTATTTTTACAAACCTCCCCTCCCCCCTCCTACCTGGGCAAGGGGAGGAGGGTGGGCAGGAGGCAAATACCTACAAACGGGAAAAAGGGGGGGGAAACAACAACCACAAAAAAAACACACAGGATACCAACGGCGCGTGGTGTGGGGGATAGGATTTGACAGTCACCAACAATGCCGTTGCCATTTACTCCTTCCCCCAACCCCCTCACCCCGTCATTCGCTCACGTGGTGTCTGTCTTACAGGGCCAATGATATACGAGAGCGTTTTATGTATTTAGAAATGGGTCATGATCAGGGGGGCACAAGGTTGGACGGAAGGGGGAGGAAAGGGGGGGAGGGGGGGCGTGGTTTGGGTTTGGGCTGGTGATGATGATGATAATGACGATGGAGGCGACCAACAAAGGTACCCCGGGCCCGGGGAGCCAGTATCACTTAGGATACCAATCAACCAGTTGAACAATCCATGTGGCAGCTGCCATTCTCGGACGTGCGTCTGCCGGATCCGGGTTTTCCAAAGTGACGGGCGCCGTCGTCGCACAGAAACCGTTCGGGCCATCGGGCCTTGTACGTCAAGGGGGAAACCGCTTGCTTTGGACCCGGGGAGGGTTCAGACAGGCGCTGGTGACGGATTTGTCACTTGGATCTCTCTCCTTTGTGCCTCGACGCGGAAAGTCCGGGGGGTCGGGAGCATCGCTCACTGTGTCCAACTGAAACCAGGCGAAGCAGCCTCGTGGTTGGGTGATTGGTAAGGGGGGTACAAAAGGGGGGATGGGGCTTGTTTCCCCGAGATCACGTTGGGGGGCAGAAAGACAAAAGGACGCAAACAATGTGCCCGCGTTGACGTTCTTCTGGAGGTGTGCGGACGCTCCTGTATTTGGGGTGGACTTGTCCGTCACCAACTGCAGGGCCGTCGTGTTACAGATCCGTGAAGAGATCCTGCAAGCAGGTTGGGAAGGGGGTCAGCTTGTGCCTTATCCGGTCTCTAGGTACTCCGCCCGGCCGTCCAACCCTGGAACTGGTTGAGAGGTTTGGGCCGTCTATTCGGCTCGGTCTTGGGAGAGCGGTGTGTGTGTGTGTGTGTGTGTGTGTGTGTGTGTGTAGAAGAGTGTTTGTCGATGATCTCAACCGTACTGATAATAGCGGTCAGGTTGGCTTCTGTCACAGCAGACAGTATGGGGCGAGGATACAAGACTCTCGTGCCTCGAGGCTCGGGTTGGGCGGGCGATGTCACTTACACGGAGACCTTGGACAGCTGGTAGGGGCCAAGCCCTTATGCAACCGAGGGGCATAAGGGGGAGGGGGCTATTTCAGGTCGCATTGCTTCCAAGTTGTTTTCTCGACGCAGGAACGGTGAGACATCATCTTGTTCCATTGTTATAGACTTCAAGAGGTCAATGCGAGCATGAAGGGGGGGAGGAGCAGCCTGGAGGGTGAAAGCGGGTCGATGTGAGGTGGCGGTGATGAAGAATCTTGGTCGAGGGTCAATATTGGTTTCCTTTTGGCTTCCGTTGCACACGCCCCCAAGCCGACCACGAACCGGACTGTCGGACCCCAAGTGTTGTTGGTGGCGTAGTTCCCGAGCGAGGGGGAAACATAGAGAGAAAGAGGCTTGAACCAGTGCAGAGGCCCATTATGCGGTTGGAAGGGCCTCGGTTGCAGTCGGAACCCTGGAGAAGGGGTTGGTGGGGGTGTTGTTTGCGTGCGTGTTTGCTTGCTGTGCCTTGCTGAGCCATGTAGAATCTGGTAATTGGCCATCATTACTGGCCTCACTTACGTGATGGGTCCCGTTTCTGGGTGGTTTGGTAAGGGAAAGGCCTGGGGCAGTGATACAGAGACCTGCCTTCACAGCGTGGTGCGTGTTCTGGAAGTTTGGCAGACTGACCTGGAAGGGATGAGATGTTTGGGGTCTGGGGGGACATGCCCCAAGCCCTTGCACGTATGCTTTGTCCCAGACCTGGGCCCTTTTGACAACTGGTCCCTGCTTGCGATAACAAGGGGGCTTGGTTGGCAAGGTTGGTCGACCTTGGCATGTCTGCTTTGAACCTAGATGGATCCTCGAAATATCCTGCACCAACACGCGATTTCCAAGGCGTTTAGGTCCGTTGGGAGGGGCTGACGTGCCACAGAATCGACCTTGATCTGTCCAGCTTTCTTATGCTTGAGGAGGACGATGGCTTGGTCATACATTGGCATCGTCGTCGTCATCGCATGCATGCTTGATCATCGATAAGAACAGGCGTGAAAGCCTTCTCAAACGGCTTGCCGTCGCGTCGCATTCGGTGCTGACCGTACCCAACTTCGACAGCCCATCAACGTTCAAACAGCAGTGCTCTCCAGCATTGGACCGTCGGCGGTCGTACAGACACTGCCCCCCCCCTTGGAGACCAGGGAGTCGAGACCTTTGGACCTTCAGCATTCTCATGGGGGGTTTAAGACGGAACTTAGCCTCCAGGGGTTACGGAACGAGACGCACGACTGACTACGCGCGGGTTCTGTGTCGGTCGATGTGACGAGTGGAGGCGGCTAGAAATGACGAGTCAACTGTTCCACGGCCTTATCGTTGTTGGAAGTGGAAATGCTGTAAGATTCCGGTCAACTGCGGTTAGCTCGAGTGGAGCGTCCGTCCAACCTCAACCAGAAAAGTGCGAGCTTTCGAGCCAATGGAGCGTATTCCCTTAGCGCAGTTGCCTCCAACGAAATTAGACCAGAAAAGAGATCATCCCCGGCTTCATTGATTATTGCCTGCATCGACTAGGCTTGGCCGGCGCGGAAAGGCCGAGAAGGAGGCGGTTCCACATGAGATGTAGCGACGGCGGGTGGTCAAGCTTGATTGATGACAACTGATAGAAGCCCAGAACAATCGTTAAAGCATGGAGATCACTGCGGGAGACGAAGGGAATCGCTCGGCAAGCAAGTATGTATTGTCTTGACAACGCCGACTCACCCATCTATGGACACGTCCGACATCTTTCCTCGCCAGCAAGCCTTGCAATTGTCATGCTGTTGGCTTATTCACGTTGTCAATTCATTATCATCATATCTCCAAACATCTCCAAACATGTTCTCGTAATCGTTATGCAAATGGAGACTTGTGCTTCTCCATGGGCTGCAGCCCAAAGATGTCATCGGACTTGATCGGCTTGGTGTCATCGTCGGAATCGGCGACAACCTCGCCAAAGAGAAAGGCGTTCCGCTCTCTGCTGATGTTTCCCGAGGGTTTCTTCCGGTGTGCGCCTCCGGAGCTCGACTTTGGCATCTGCGGTGGCGACGCGGATTGTGCGGACTGGTCCGGCTCAAGCATCCACGAGAAGGATGACTGGGCAAGGGTTGATCGCGTTGGAATCGGCGGCTGAGGTCGTTCCTTCGGCTTCCTCGGAGGGGTACCCAACTTTGGGCTTGATGTTTTCACTGAAGGATGCTCGGCAGGTTTGTCTGCAGGTGCATCTTGTGTGGTATCCATCAGCTCGGGGAGAGATGTCGAAGCTGACGACGCTATGTCTTTCCCTTGGCCTGCCAGGGACAGCGTGGATATGGCGCCTGCCACATTTTCGGCGGAAGCAGCGGCCTCCAAGGCGGCCTTGCCGTCTGGGTCGACGTCCATTGAGTTTTCTTTAGCTTCTTCAGGTGGCGGGCTGGTGAAGCCCTCCAAATCCGGGACCTCGATCGTTGGGTCTTCCAGGTAAACCTTGACGAACTGGATCTTGGCGGCAGCCACCTCGACGAGCTCCAGGGTCTTAACCTTGTCATCAAGGTTGGATGTGCCCAAAGACCTAAGACTCGTGACCGTCTCGTCCAGCATGTTCGCCAGGAGCTTGTTCCGTTGCTCCAGCGCGGCAATGGCCTGGGTCGCCGAGTCGTCTCCCAGCAGTTGTCTTGCTGTGCGAGGTGTATAGCGTACCTCGTTCAAGCTCTGCATGTTCTTTCTGATGTCACCCATGGCATCGCGTACGGCTTGGTTGATGCCGAGCTTCTCACCTCGCTCAAGCATGCTTTTTGCGGCGCCCTGGAATAGAGCTTCCACTCCACCCTGCTGCTGGATGAACCTGCTTGCCGAGGGAATCGGCGATTGGTTGCCTCTGGTTCGGTTCTTGAAAGAAAATGCCTGGCTCATTGGCGTCGTGGGCCGCGAACTAGCTGCAGACTGTGTTGTGCTGGGCATCTTCCCCGTATATTTCAACAGGAGCGAGACACCCCCCGAGACACTAAGATGCGTTCTCAGGTACATGGCGTCGTCTACAAACGTGTGAGGTCCATGAGGGGCATCTGGTGCGGGATACTTGAGTAGCAATTGCAAGCAAACGGAGTAGTCTGCCTCGAGCACTGCAGCGAATTAGCCTGAACAGAGGCAGGAGGAAGCACATGCCGAGAACCTACAACTCCAACGAATCCTAAGAAGCATAGCAACGCAAATAAGGTCTATCAAGCTTAGGGACGGGTCGACGGCAAAAAGGGTATCCCAAAAGACGAGGAGCTCGTCGAACGGAAACTCGCGGCCGAAAAGAAGGCGGATCCATCGGCTAAGGGACCAGCTTCTTTAGTACTGGGGCAGAGAACTCGGAGGGTTGTAGATGCTTACATCAAGAAAATCTGCGGCAGGATCTCAATATCTTTTAGGTGGTTGGCCAACTCTGGGTCAACCTTGGCCAAGCACACCTCGTGGATGAACTTGCTCTTCTCGACAATGGCCGACGTTTCCACACGATCCTTGGACACGGATGCCAAGGCCGCCTTTGAAACGGAGTCCTTGACTTCGTAAAACGACATGGCCTTCTCCATGATCTTGGAAAACAACGCAAATGTGTCGTGTTCGATGAAGGACGAGTCGAGCATACCGACCATCGCTTCATCAGCCGGCTGTCCGCTGGACGCGATGGTTTCACGATCAAGCGCATCTTGACTGACCACGTATGCTATCGGCGCTAGAATCTCGTGCATACCCTGGCGATATCCGCCGCTGTTGGGATGCAACTTGCAGTAGACAAACAGCGCGTCAATGATCAATGTCTGCGTCCGGTCTTGGTGGTAGAAGGGCTCATCCGGCAGGCGGCGAACATCCTGCGCGATTTCCGCCCTGATGATCTCGTCTTGACGGACAGTGTTCCACGGCGACTGCGGCAAAGTGTGAGCTCAAGGTCGCTGGGCATGGGGGAAATACTCCACAGCACGGACCTTTGGGTCGTCGGTCAGCGGGTCAATGGCTACCTTGGCCAGCTCCTCCGGGTGCTCGATGAACTTTAAGAAATGATCCCGGCGTTGAGAGTAGTAGCTGCGCAGCTCGGAGACCCCATGAAGCCAGTCTGCGGGGTCGACGTCTTGTAGGAGCAGAAAGGCCTGCGAAGCGGAAGTCAGCTCGGTCTTGGGACAGCATCAACGCCCACGACTTCATACTGACCTTCCAACACACCGACCTGCAGCCTGTGAGGCATGGGCTCGAAGGCCCGTTGTATCTGACTGCATTCTGCAACTCGGAGAAACTCCTGGCATTCTTTAATGTCTCGGCCCATCGCGTCCTGTGAGTTGGGTTAGTCGGTGGGAACATGATGTCAGAGGTCGTGGTGATTCGACGCGCACCGCACTTACTGGGCTTCATCGAGGGTTCTCATCGTGCACCAAGAAGGCCTCGGTTGAGGGAGCCTTTTGGACTGCCAAGACTTACAGAAGCAAACCGGCCTGGCATCCCAGATGGAAAGTCTCAAACTCAAAAGAGCCGCACGCAATGAGACGGGATTAGGTTGGCGATCGATTGGAGTGTTGTGAGTTGAAGGTGGCTGGAGAGGAACTAGGCGCTGGTGGAAGCTCGGGCCAAGTCAAAGTACCGCACCTCGTACCCCTGCCTGAGATGAGGCCCCGATGAGGTAAGAGAGACAGACTACGGAGTACACTACCAGCATTGCAGCAGGCCTGGGACAGCAGGCAGGTGATGGAAGGGGGGTCAGCGCAACGGCCAGAGTGGGGCAGAGGGGTACCTACGTTGGAATCAACGACCGTCTGCTCAAAAAAAAAACAGTGCCCCGCGGGCGATGGGCCACGTCGCACACACAACGTAGGTAGTCATGTCACGGCTGGTCAATGTCGTTTCCAGTATGAGGATACTCTATAGCAATCTACCTGTATCGAATATATATCTACCCTACACCTATTCCCTCGCGAATATTACCTGAAATCCCGAAACCGCCAGAGTGCCGGGCTTCGACACGTACAAAGGTATATATATCTAATACTCCTCTCTAGAGAACACCACCTTGAATGTCGTTGCTGCCAAGGGCGGCCCGCGTTGCCAACAAAGGAGCGTTTCCAGCTCCGCTCAACCGTTCGTCTCATCTGCCCATCTTACCCTCCTCGACTCCGACAACATAGACAAAGGATGACCAAGAGCGCAGAGCGAGATTGCTCATCTAAATTTGTATTCCATACCCCCTAACTCCGAAACCGCCGCCCGCCCCCCCTTAGAAAAAATCAAAAAAAGGCATTCGCTTCATCCCCCCCCCCCCAAATATTAAAAGACCAGCTCAATTTATCACATGATCCATAGAAAGAAAGAAAGAAGAAAACGTCTTGTTGTGTCAAATAGCTCTCTCTAAGCACGCCCGGCTCTGACTCGAACGGGGATCGGACGAGAAAGCCGTGCTTTCCAAGATTGCTCTTTAGGGTATCTTGACCAAATCTGCTCCGTGGCCCCGAACAGGCCCCAGCTGCCCTCCCAATGCTCATGTCCCTTCCTTCCTCATCGTCACATCATTTCTCTCCTTCAGTCCTCCTGTTCAACCTCCTGGCACCAAGGATGCTCCAGGACTTGGTTGATGTCGTATCTCGCAGTTACATCACGGTCGAGCATACGCCTCACTAGGTCGATGCTCTCGTCGCTCATCGTCCACGGCACGCGCAGGTCTCGGTCCATGATCTCGTCAATGCTGTAGAATGGGTTCTCCTTGTAGATGATGGTGTAGAGCAGGATTCCGAGCGCCCATACGTCTTGCTCCTTACCACCATATGGCTTGCCTGCGAGCACCTCCGGAGCAGCGTAATCTGTGTGCCAGTGTTAGCTCTCGTCACCTCGATACAAGCAGGAACGGGTCGACTCACCAATAGTGCCCACGAAGACATCGAAGGGGCCGTTCTTGATGTATGCTGCGCTCCCAAAATCGATCAACTTGATGTTGCCCTCGCCGTCCAGGATCACATTCTCATCCTTGATGTCTCTATGGACTACCAGGGCCTTCGTATGAAGATGGCCAATGGCTTTGGCAACCTGGACAAAGATGCTCCGGCACTCGGCCTCCTCCATGTTGCTTCGTAGTTCAATGTAGTCGAAGAGGTCCATGCCTGGCAGTCCGTGGGGCACCATTTCGATGTAGTAATTCACATCATCCTCAAAAAATGATTCCATCTCGACAATGTTCGGATGTCGCAAGTCAGGACGTCGCAGGTAGTCAAGAACGTGGATCTCCAGAGGCACCGTGCCCAGCTTGCGATCTCTCGTCCATGTGTCGACCAGGATGCGTCGCTTCGTCACGTACTTCAAAACCACCTTCTTCTGCGTCGTCGTGTACCTGGCCAGTTTGACCTGGCCATAGGCACCCTGGCCCATATCCTCTATGATTTGGAAGTCATCGATTGACTTCTTCTGCTGGGCCGGCTCGACCACTGGTGGTACGGGTGCCTTGTCATGCTTCTTCTCAGCTCGGGGCCCGCCAGTCAGTTTCGCAGCGGCCGTCATGGCGACTTCTTTGAGTTGTTTGGTAAAACCCGACGCAGTCGAGGACGACGACGCTTGAGGCTTGGGCTCGTCGGAATCCGAACTAATCTCGATTGGCGTGTGTGCGGGCGTCTGCCCAGGTGACGGCTGATGCAAGGGAGTCGTCGTTCCAGAGCCAGAAGTCGGCGTCACGCCTAGATTGGCCCTGGAAGCGTGCATGTGCCTGGAATAGGTAATCCAAAGGGCGAACACTATTTCGGAATGGGGAATCAAGAATGAGTCGTCGTGGTTTTCTCCGCCCTTGTCCTCGTCCTCGTCCTCAATGACAGTCTCCTGTATGACCGTGGACTGCTTTGCGCTTCTGACCACTCGCATCTGGACGTCGACTTTGAGCCCCGAACCATCCCTGTGTTTACCCGGCAATCCGTCCGGCCTCAGGAAACTAGCTGCAGCATCTGGGCGGTTCTCCCTTAGGCCCAGAATTGCCGAGGCTCGGCGGAAACTGTGCTCCGGCACTACAATCCCGTCCTGCAACTGCACGCCGTCCTCTTCTATCAAGATGTGGAGGACCTTCTCGAAATCGGGAATCAGCGAATCAATGGGCATGCCGTCGGGCTTTTCGTACCCAAACAGCGCACCACAGAAAACCGAGTTGGAACTCTGGATCTTCAATGTCTCGGGGTCCACTACAATGATGCCTGCAATATGCGGAAAGCTCGAGACGCGCAGTTCTGTCTTGCCCCGAACTTGCTCGACGGTGCAGGGAATGTTGACTTTGGCTGGGTTCGGGCATGTGAAGAACCTACGCCTGGCAATCTGCGCAAAGTCCACCTCGCCGGTGCGAGGGTCGATGCCTTGCCGAGGAATGCGCGGTATCAGCTTGCCGATATCCACCCCGTTCTGTAGTGATTCGAAGCCCCAGATCGGTGCTGTGGCCCCAGAGATCTTCTGGATGATGCCTTCGTCGTCGAGTTCGATCTGGGCCACGTCTTCGTGGATTTCCTCAAGGACCCAAATGAGACCGATCCGCTTCTCCTTGACCCAGAGACTTGCGGATCCCGTGGCGCCGTTTCGTTTTTGAATGGGAACGACGTCTCCACATAGGAGAACACCCCGGGATCGACTGCTCTGGTGTCGCGAAGTTCCTCTGAGTTTGGGTGGGTTCGGGTCTCCGCTATGCACGGTTTGAGCTTTCCGTGCAACTGCTTTTGGTGGCTGTGATCGCGAGTTAGGCTTGCTCAGCAATTGGGCGGTGATTCCACCCCGCCCGCCCAGAAGCGAAGATGTGGATGGAGTCGGTGGAGATACCGTCGTCTTTGGGATGTCTTCTGCCTCTTTGATGACATCCTCGGGGTCCATCTGCAGAAGTTTCTTTTCCAACCAAGCCCTCCGCTCCTCCTGAACCACCTCCAAGATGCCCATCTTCCGGACCTCTGCCTTGGTGACGCCAAAAACCAAACAGGCAAGATCGTTGGCTGCAATGATCGTCCATGGCGGCTTAGACTCCGTCGTGAAGATGGCCTGCGCTGCCGGGACCCATCTCGTGGAATGCCCATGAACAGCCGGGCCCAGTGCATTTGGCATGTTTGGTGCGGACAAGGGATGTGCCGTTGTGGGGGATGTAACCGCCTCCTGATTTGCCAGGTAAGGTTGCGCCATGGTGTCGATGAGCTGTTGATGGACCGAGACCGGTAGCGTATCCGTCAGTGTCCGCTTCAAGCTGAGTCTCCGGGACGGCGGCGGCGATGTTTTGGTTGTCGTCCCGCTCTCGTTTGTCGGCGTTCTGCTCGAGTTTTCTGATTCGTTGTCGGCCGCGGGTGGTTTCTGTGTCTCATCTTGTGCCGGCTTCTTTGCAGTGTCTGCTCCGGCAGCCGGCGCCTTGAAATGGGACATGGTAGGAGACGTACTCGGCGAAGTCAGAGGCTCGGGGCTCGAAGTTCGCGGAACGAAGTTGGCTTCGAATAGGTTCCCCCCCGAAACTTGCGGGGGACCTGTCAGAGGACCGACGAGTGACTGGTCCATGGATGGAAGGTTGCCCGCCCCAACAAGCTGTGCTCTAGCCAACAGGTCTAGCATGTTCTGGGTCTCGACGTCGCCCGTCGCTCGCGCTTGCGCACTTGCCAGTGCGACGTTTGAGGGCGAGACGGACCATCCCATCCTGTCTTTCATAAAGTCTATGGATCGCTTGAGGACATTCTGCCGGTTATGGATGTATTCTTCAGACTGGTGGGCGAAGGAGAAGGAATGCAATGACTCGGAAGGGAAGCGGGAGAGGTCTTCGGAAAAGTTGGGTGAGGAGGGATGCGAGCTGAAGGGCATGCCGGGAGAGTTCACAAGTAACGTTGTCATGGACGTTGATCTCGACAGGCCGATCGAGGAGCTTCTGGATGTGGGATTCGAAGGAGCTCGCGACGAGGGCTGTTGTCGGATACGACGCAATCCCGATAGACCAAGGCCGTGGTCATGGTCCGTTACGATTGAGGGTCTATGGCTTGAAGAAAACCTGTCAGCTACGATGCCTTGAATGGCTTTGATTTGCCATGTGATGATTTAACCCGCCACCAAGTGACTGTTTGAATGATGCACTTGCACCCGTGACATACATTTTTGCTTACCACCCGGCAATAAGCACTGAGAAGATGAAAAGGAAAAAAAAGAAAGAAAAAAAAAAACCACAAAAACCACATTCATGTATCAGTGTCGCCCGCTCTTTCAGATATGCATACTCCGCCTCATACTGTGATTGAATATCCCACTTGGAATCATTCTTTGATCCTTTGCAGGCTACAATGCGCCCATATGGACGCCGCGCGCGCCCCATTCTCTAAAACCTTGTGTTTCGTTGTCGAGACGGCCATCTTGGCGACGCAAAGCAAAGCCCAACCATTGACCAAATCGTCATCGACTCAGCAGCTTTGCCGGATAGGTAGAACGCATCAGGAAGTATCCAAAGGTGAGACCAACCTTGGCATCGCTTCGCCGCCATCCACGATGGAGCTGGCATCGAAGGAAAAGCGCATTCGGCCGGAGCCGGGGTTGTTATCGGTTGTGACTTCGAGGTTCCCGGTGCTTCGGTTCTTGGGGAGCTCTAGCTGGGTCGTCGGGGTCCGGCTCCTTCCCCGAGGCTCTTCATGGTGTTTGTCGGTGCCTACAAACCGTGGGAGAGGTTTAGGTCAGAGAGGACGCGGCGATTCGAAACAGGAGGGAATTTGCGTGGCCGGGAAAGACGTACCATTGTTGTGAGGTCCCCCATGCGGCCGTAGCATAATGGGAAAGAAGAATAGCAATCGATTCGGATAATTGTCCTAGGGAATAGAATATGCGGGCAGGATGCGGGTTCGACGATGCAGGTTCGGGTTCGGCGGGGTCGAGTTGAGGAGCGAAAGGTCGGTCTAGCAGGTATTGAACGGTGGTTCGGCTCTGGTTTGCCTGGGGCGTTCGGCGGCGAGAGGAGAGAACGAATGAGTGGTGCCCGACGATTGGCAGTGCTTGCTGAGAGGTGCAAGGTGTTGTACGACGGTGGCTGTTCCAGCTAAAGTAATAGGTAATGAGGTACAAAAATGCAAAACACTCCCACAAGATGCACTACCTCTGTAGGTAAGGCGAGGAGGTATGGGGCGGGAGTCAGAGGTGAGGTAGATCGGGTTCCAATAAGCAAGGTTTGCCACAAGGATGAGGGCGCGAGTGTTTTGGAGCCGACGAATGGTGTGAGGAAGAAAAAAAAGCACGTTCGGTCCTTTTTTCCCCCTCTTTCTCGCTCGTGGTCTGTTCTGTACAAACAGGCAACAAAAAGGGCGGCGAGGGATCGGAAAGAGAGACAGAGAGTTTGAGGAAGGATCGATGGAATGATTCGACGACCAACAGTTCCGAAATTAGCGATGATGGTGGTGGTAGCGATGATGGTGGTGGTAGTGGTGATGGTGGTGGTGGTGGTGGTAGTTGTTGTGGAGGGGGAGTGAGGTGGGCTCGTTAGCAGCCAGTGGCTAGCAGCAGCAGTAGCAGTAGCAGTAGCAATAACGGCAGCGGTAACGCAACAGCAAAAAAGTAGACCTCAAAGGTCGAAAGAAGCGTCTCGTCCTCTTTTCTTTGGGAGCTGGTTCTGGATCTGGATCTGGATCTGGTTTTGGTCCTGGTACGGGTCAAGGCCCAGTCCGGTCCGAGTCGATTCACCAAAGGGCCAGGAAAGGGAACGTGAGTCGTCTCGCCGTCTTGTGCTAGTGCCACCTCGGTGCCAGCGCCAATGCCAGGAAAATGCCTATGCCAATGCCAATGCCAATGCCAATGTCAACGCCGATGCCAATACCAGTCGGTGTCAGTGCCGGCGTCAATGCCGCAACCGGATGTCTTCTGGCTCGCGCTCTCTCTCTATCTCTCGTTCAGTCCACTCCGGTCCAGCCCAGCTACTTCTGTTCTCCTGCTTTTTCACTCGCTCTCCTTTTCCTCTCTCTGTCTGGGCTGTGCCGTTGACAGGCGCGAGTGTCGAGAGTTAGGCAAATAAACAGGGCCAAGCAAAGGCGAGTGGCTAGTCTTACACCTAGCAACCTGCCACCACGTGCGCCTGGCCTCGTGAGAGGATCGTCTGCCGTAATCGTCCAAAGATGGACTAAGACTGGCTTGAGAAGTGACAGAAACCTGGAGGCAGGGAGAAGGGCGGCTTTAGTCTCTGGTCTTCAGTGCACACACAGCAAGGTGTTGGCGCAGGTGCTTGTCCGTAATGTAGGTAGCGACGGACGAGACCTCGGAAGCTGGGAAGTGGCCCCTTGTCAAACCCAAACAGCAATGCGCAAGCTGGAGGTTAGCAGCGGGCGTCAGGTCACAAATGGTGCGGGGGACGGCGGCGGCGACGACGGCAGCGGCGGTGTGTTGGTGACGGGACGGAGAAGACGGAGACAGCAAAAGCTCAATGTCACTTTTGGGGCTCTGAGAGAGATACAAATCTCGCTCTGGGGGCGTCGATGGTTGGTGAGGTAAGAGAGAGGAGAGGAGAGGGGAGAAAAGAGGAGGGGAAGATGGCAGTAGTGGATGAAGAGGGGAACAATTCCTAGAAAGAAAGGATAAAAAAAAAAGTCCACTCTGCTGGGTTCTCTGGTGATCGAAAATTTTGAGATGCATCTGTCCACAGCTTCGAATTATTACCAGCCAAGCATTCTGCATCTGCACATGTGTGTCCCAGTTGCCTCACCAAAACCCTCTCTTCTCCTATCAGGAGGAAAACCCCCTCCGAAATTCGCTTCAAGGTACATAGATATACTGGGCGGTCCTTCTTAAGGTCGCACAGGCACACAATAATACTCTAACACAGTTGGGAAAAGACCCGGAAATTCGCAAGTCGTGCTGCTTTCTGCAACTCTGAGTGGGCACACAGCACAAGTTACAGGCTTGACTCGTAGGGCCTCGAGGCCATTACAACACACTGATTGGAGGGTTCGGCACGCGGCACCGGGGCCTCAGAGAGAGAGAGTCGACGAGGGGGAGGAACACGATGGAAGCCCACTGGAGATGCAGTTCCGCGGCGGCCGGCCCAACGGTGGAGCCCTCTTGTTGATACTGAGCGGCGGCACCGGCTGTGATATGTATAGCCCGGGAGGGTTCCACGCTCGAGAAAAGGGGCTGTAGATCCCGGGATGCGTCACAGTGCCGCGGCCACGCCCCGGCGAGTGACATACTGGCCGAGACCGCCGCTATTCAAGCAGCCATCATCCTTATGCCGGTGCGAGATTTGATCATCACCGCCCAAAGCAAACCTCATCGTTGCGGTACCGGCTGCCTGCCACACCTGACAGGACGGAACACCGGACGGAAGGATTCCCGTCGTCTGCCCCATTCGCACACCGACCCTTGACTAGGCAGACCCTTGCCAACAACAGCCTTTCCATCAAGACAACGCAGTGTAGTCCTGATAGGCTGTGGCCTACAATCAAGATGCACAGTCATGACAGCCTCGATGCGCACGACTCGCGCGATACCCTGCTCAGCAGGTGACTACTACTACTATTACGTATGTCCAACCTACCACGTGCACGGTGGCAGTACTCAAATAGGGGCCCAATAGTTCACCAAGACTGTCTGTTGGCGGTCAATTTGACGACATGGACGTGTGCCTGCCGCTTGCCATCGCAGCCCCGCGTCTGGCAGATCCGGTGGCCACGGGAGCATATAGCCGCCATACTGCTGGTTTCGAAGGGTAAAACATGCTGTTGGTCGTCCTGGCTATGAGCTCGAAGAGGTATGATATTCGCCTAGGTAGTTTCGAACGACGTAGGCGATATTCCCTCATCGTCGAACTGTTAAATTTCCGGCACGTGGCTGGAAGTGCCCACACAACTCTTTCGCCTTCGATGCCGAGGCAAGGCAGAAGCTAAAAGATGCATGATGGTGCCCTCGAACACTGCATCGCAATACGTCGAGGCCAGCAACTCGGGAAAGCTATCAACGGACAACCTATGCTGGATTCAGTGACTGTCTCGATGGTTCACGAAGGACAGCTCTTTGGCAGGACGGCTCGAGGATGTTTGAGACAAATGCATCACGAGGTCTCATGACGGACAGGGTCAGGTTGAGATCGTCTTGAGGAAAACACCTTCTTGGACGCGAGGCCGCGATGCGATACTGGGCAGGCCGTTCAGCACAGAGAGTGTGTAGTTGCATTGTATCCGCCAAGGCTATGCGTTTTAAAGGTGTCGCGTGGCTCGTCGCTTGCTGAGTCCTTATCTCCCCTTGCCCGAGTCGGCTGATGTGTGGTCATATATAGGGCCCCGAGCTTCGGCGCGAAAAGCGTCAGCCGACCGGGCCGGTCTGTGTGTGGTGGTACTCAAAAGTGCGCTTGAAAGAGGAAAAGGCTGGACCACCAAGAAGCCGCTTGAAAACAGTCGTGTCAAGATTTGCCATGTTGGGTCTGAATGAAGATCTGTCAAACGGCTGCGGTCTCGAAGACTTCGTGAACCAACATGAGCGCGGCGAAGATGGCCACAGAAATGGACTGGAGGCGGGTTCGATTGTTCCAGGTCTCTTGTCAAGGCGGAGGGTGCAGAGATGGCCCCGCTAAAAATGTCGCATTCGGGTCGATGCTGATGAAAATCGTTTCTGTAGCCAAGAGTCGTTCGGTTGCGGCGTGGGCCACGGAAGACGGATCGCAATAACGCCAAGGTGCTTTCTTCCGCGAGCCTCGAGGTGCTCAAAGCGGGCTGTATCGAGCTAGTCTGTTTCGTCAGTTTCGGTTGAATGGGGTATTCCTTCCTTTTTTCCCCCTTCTTTCTTTTCAAGGCGGGTTACCGGCATCATCCTACCTACACCGTAGTAAACTCGGGATGGAAAAGCGCCTGATATATCTGCCGGCGAATCAGGTAGCACCAGTGCAGAAACATGGCCAGGACCGAGAGACGGCGCCGAAATCGTGCAGGCAGTCAGCGGAAAGACGCAACGGCTACAGTGATGGCGGCTGGCGAGTGATTCTTGGGACAGTCGAATTCCTCCAATGACTGGTGATACAGATGATAGCGGGTGGCGGTTCCGGGGTGCAAATCAATACCCACCCAAGTGCGTCGCGGCGAGTCCAAGGGTCCAGCAAAATGCGCTAGCGAGCCTTGGGAAGAGAGACAGAGAGAGAAACGTTGAGGGAACACGCAGGATCCGACATTCAGATCCGATGCTCAGGTCCCTGCTTAGACAGACACACACTCTTCTCAAGGTGGAGGACCCTGCGGTGAGTGAGCTAGCGGACTGCACGCAGCGCAACGCGTGGCTTCCGTCGAGGTCCATGGTGGGTTTGTGCAGGTCGTCATGCAGTACGATCCAGCGGTGTCGACGAGCACGGCGTTTCTGGCGGTTTAGTACCTGACCTTGCATCATTTGACTGAGATCAGGGCCGGTGATGGTGCCACAAAGAAAGAGAGGACGGTGACTTGGACAAGTGCTCAAGTCAGGTTCCCGCCGGTCTGAGGGTCTTGGAGGGGTGGTTTGTGGTGTCAGTCAGCGGTGATCTGACTGGTCCTCCTTAGCCGACACAGCGATTGGTTCCTGACCAGACAGGCAGGCAGTCTGCACTCCGGGCAGGCCCCTCGCCCTTCCATCCCCCCCTCGTCCTTCCACATTCCCCCCTCTTCCCCCACCCCACCCGTCCGCTCTTTCTCGCCGGGCCACGGGCCCCGCATCAGGTGGGTCAAGTGAGAGAATGAAAGAGGTATGTATCTTGCTGCGTACCGGCCGGCAGTAACGACCTCGCATGTCCTCTTTTGCCTCCCGTTCTCTTGGACAGTTGGGACCAAGGCCAATCATCCTCTACGGTCGTCGCCTGCGGTGCGGTGGTCGGCGGTGGATCCTGCTTCCAGACTCTTTCAGTAGCTGTGGCACTTGCCAGCTTTGGAAAGGCCTTGGGCTGGGCTGGAAAGGCGGGTAAGACGAAGCTGGCAGCTGCATCCTTGGGTATCCGTTTTGGCCACCTACTTTGTGCTTCTCAGGTTTTGTCAGTCTTCTGGGCCAGAGGCCACCTCCCCAGAATCAGAACCCATGCTGTCGTCCCAGGTATACACTGAGGATTCGGATGCAGAGGTAAGTAAGCCAGACGTTTGTTTGTACCATCCGGCGCCGTCAGAGTGATGAAGCGACTCGTAAACTACCACGTAGGTGTGAGGGGTGTGGTGAGAGTCGTGCATGGCGGGCCGGGATCTATCAGTGCTAGTCGAGAAGAGAGGGAGGGTCCCTGTTTCGCCGACCTGGATGGGAGGGGGAGGGGCATGGCGGTGATGGAGGGTGTGAGGGCCGTTTTGTATATCCGATCCAGAGCGCGTTTTAAGCTTCTGTTACTGCTTCCCGTACGTACCGTACCGTACCTGTACCTTTCGGTGGTGCGCGAGCGCGGTCAAATTTTGCCAAAAGGTAACCATTATTTTCCCTCTTATGTTTCTCATCCTCCATTTGTTTTCTTCCTCCTCCATTCTCATCCATCTTTGCATTCCCACCTTCTCACTCTTATCTTTCCCGAAGTCATAGTCTTCTTGTTCGTGCCCACCCCTCACCCCCCAATATCTCCCCCGACCCTGCTCGTGTGACCTGCCACCAATAACTAAACAGGCCATGATATCTTGAGCTTCGCTGTGCCATGTGCTCCGCCCCAGCCCGTAAGGTCCCCTTCTTCCAGCCTTCCAAGGCTCCACCCTCCGCTACCTGCACCGGCTGACCTCCATTACCTATAGCTGGCACTCGTTTTGTTAGCAGATCCCACTTTACAGAACCCCTGTCCACCCCTCCGCTTCTGCCCCCTCCCCCTCCAAGAGATAGGAAGAGCTCGCATTCAAGACAACATCTTCTCCCCGAATATTCGCGCCCTATGCCTCAGCCGCTCTTCTAGGGACCTGGCCCATCTCTCGAGTTGTCTCGAAAAAGAAAAAAAAAATATACTCCCCCGTCTCTCCAACACACGGACTATGAACTAGGGCCGTTCGTTCCACTGCCTATTTCGAGCGCTTTGCCCTCACAAGGCCTTCTCGAGTTTGCTGTTTATCCTGTAGTAGTCCCGGAGCCTTTTGATCCCACTTCAGGTCGGCGCTTTGCACATTTTCTTTATCCCAAAGATCATCCTCGAATATCCAAAATGACCGACACTACCGAGACCCCCGCAGAGCCTACCCCCATGGAGGTGGTTGACGAACAAGGCCCCGGTCTCTCGACTTCATCTACCAAGACCAAAGGCCGCCACCTTGTTCTCTGTGGTGTGCAACGAATACCCTCCTCACCTTCGCCGTCCAGGACCGGTCGTACGAGATCGCACAGCAGTCCCCAGCGCGGACGCGTGAATGTCTCTTGCGTGAGCTTGGCAGGACCTTCGACCTCCACAACTTCTTTTGGTGGCGATTCTTACTTTCCTGCCGGAGTGACAGCATCTGGCTACGCCAGCGCCTCGAGCTCGGTTCCAGGAACACCCTCGAGCGAAACCGTCCAATTCGTGGGCATTGATGGCCGTCTGGCTATCCGACGAGTCGACAATGTCTTTCCCATGTCGCAGTCACCAGTGCCTCAGACAGTTGGGCTTCCGTCCGACATGAGGACGACGAGCAGAATCCAAGTCGCAAACCCCGAGGTACCCAAGCGTGGCTTCAACTTCTGGGAGAGCATGCCTCACGAGATGCGTGTGCACATCTTCTCCTACCTTACACCCAAGGAGCTTGTTCGAGCTTCGCGCGTTAGCAAGATGTTCTACAAGATCTGCTTCGACGGGCAGTTGTGGACATGCTTTGATGCTACGGAATTCTACCAGATAATTCCTGCAGAGTCGCTTGCAAGAATTATCGTTGCTGCCGGGCCTTTCATTAAAGACCTGAACCTCAGAGGCTGTGTCCAGGTCGAACACTATAAACGGGCTGAGGTGGTCGTCAAGGCCTGCAAGAACCTGGTCAACGCCACGCTGGAAGGATGTCGCAATTTCCAACGCAACACACTACACAGCCTGCTGAGGAGCAACGATCAGCTCGCCAACCTCAACCTGACTGGATTGACAGCAGTGACCAATATGTCCTGCAAGATCATCGCCGAGTCATGCCCTCAGTTGGAGACGTTCAATGTATCGTGGTGCGTGCACATGGACGCACGAGGCATCAAGACAGTACTCTTGGGGTGTCCCAGACTGAAGGATTTGAGGGCCGGAGAGGTTAGGGGTTTCGACAACCTAGAAGTCGCTGATACGATCTACGAGACGAACAACCTCGAAAGGCTGGTTTTGAGTGGCTGCGCCGAGCTCAACGACCGCGCGCTCAAGATCATGGTCCACGGAGAAGACCCCGAGATCGATATCCTTACCGACCTACCCGTCGTCCCTCCGAGGAAATGGCGCCACCTCGATCTCAGCCGCTGCTCCCGTCTCACGACTCAGGGGGTAAAGGCTTTAGGATATAACGTCCCTGATCTCGAGGGACTGCGGCTGTCCGGTTGCACCGCGCTCACAGACGCCGCGCTGGAGCCCATATTGGCATCCACCCCACGCCTGACACACCTCGAGATGGAGGACTTGTCAGATCTAACCAACAGTCTCCTATCAGATCACTTGGCCAAGGCCCCCTGCGCGCGGTGGCTAGAACACCTGTCCATCAGCTATTGCGAGAACCTCGGCGACAGCGGCGTCCTCCCGGTCGTCAAAAACTGCGTTAACCTCCGAACCATGGAACTTGACAACACCCGCATCAGCGACCTCGTCCTCGCCGAGGCGGCTTACATGGTCAACAACCGCTCCCAAAGCACCGCGGCGAAGCCGAAACCGGGGGTCGGCCTGCACATGGTCGTCTACGACTGCCAAAACGTCACCTGGACCGGCATCCGCGAGGTCCTCTTCCGCAACGCCCAGATCAAGCCCTCCATGTCCGAGGCGGGCAAGTTTACATACTCGGCCGAGGCCGTCAGTCTCAAGTGCTTCTACAAGTTCCAGATGACTGTCGACGAGCATATGAAGCGCGTACTCCGGGGCGACCTCGCCGCCGCCAACCGCCTCGAACGGCGGTGGGCCGACTACATGCAGGCCACCGAGGAGGCAGGGACCGCCGGAGCCGGTCACCGACGTCGCAGACGCAGGGCCCGCGAGGCGCAGATTCTGCATGCCGACGAGGAGGAGGGCGGTAACGGTGGTCGCCGGCGGGGCCGGACCGTCGGGTCTTGTACCGTCATGTGAGGCGGTAGACTCACTCTTAAGGAAGCCGTCAGAAGCGTCAGGAGAGATGCATCTAGCTTCTTTCTTCTTCTTTTTCTTCTTCTTTTTTTATAAACTTTTTTCCTTTTCTTCTTTTTTTTATATTTCTTATTCTTCTTTTTAGCCGTGTCGATTTATATTTATATAGGGGCGTTTGGCGCAACCTATAATTCTGTTGCTAGACTGGGGATGCATTGCCATTTCTCTCCGTTTGTTAACGGATGAGCTCAGGCGTCTCGCATCAGGACTGGCGTCACTTCATCGAGCCCCTCTTCTGTGCTGCTTTTTGTTATCCTTCTTCAGAAGAACTCTGAGCTTTTCTTTTCTTTTGCTTTCTTTTTTATTATACGGTGTTCTGGGAGATTGGGCCTGGGACATTGGCCAAACGAGACGGGCGTTTCTGCGCTGGATTCGAGGGTTTCCCTCTACGACTTGCGAAGGGGAGACTGATTGCAAGGCACTTGCGCCTTGGAGGGTGGTATCATGTACTTATCCTAGAACTTGGGGAGGTGCTGCGGCTATTGAATAGCACACATCACATTGTCTGCATAGGCCAACAGTCCCAAAATCTTGCGTGAAAAAGAAAAAAAAGCCTAATCACACACACACACACACACACACACACACAGACCTGATGGATTGAAATACCGTCTTTGCCATAGAGAATAGGCTACTTCTGTCGTACAGCCGTGTGCAGCCCAAATACATCAAGAAGGCACACCCCATCGGCTCAGTGCGCGCCGTGCTGGCGGATATACCGACGGATCTTTTCCTGGAAGACGTCGTCCTCGTCGCGCCTCTCGTCGCCCTCCATGACGTACATGTCCTCGTCCGCGTCCTCATCCAGGTCGCGAGCGTCAAACTCCTCCTCGTCCGAGGCGTTGGCGTTGCGGAAGAGGTAAGCGTGGCGGTCGTACTCGTCCTCGGAGTCGACCTCATCCTCGGGGTAATCCGCCGTGTAGTGGTTCTCGGCTGCGGCCGCGCGTCAGTATACCGAGAGCTCTGGATCGACCCCTTCAAGAAAAGAGGGGGGGGGGGGGGGGGGGATTAAAACTTGGAGAGAGACTTACCGTTTTCGTCCTCCTCGTCATCATCATCCGAGTCGGGGTCCTCGTTGCCGTAGAACAGCTCCAAGTCCTCCTGCGTATCGAACCTCAGCACGCCAATCTGCTCGGGTGGGATCTCGGCCAACGCGGTCTTTGAGGGCGCCAGCTCGTACACCTCGATGACGTAGTCGTCGTCACTGCTCTCCTCATCACCGCCGCTTGCCTCGGCCATCTCCTCGTCGTCGCGGCCGCGGCCATCTAGCTCCCTTGCCAGCTCGGGGTGCCGCTCGGCGAAGCGCTTGACCGGGGCCTTGGGCTTGAAGCGGGAAGGCGACGAAGCAGCGGCGGCTGCTGGCGGCGCGGCCGGTTGTTCCATCGACTTGAGGTTCAGCCCGATCTCGTGCAAGACCCACTGGTCCATGTCGGCGGCAATCTTGTCCAGGTCCTGGGTGGGCACGACGCTGGGCATGGGCTTGCGCTGCGCGTCGACGTTGGGCGCCGCGGGCCGGGGCGGGCGTTTCGCTAGGGGCTTCTTGGGCACCGGCTTATCCTCCTTGACGCCGACGTCCGCGGATGCGAGAGCGGCGCCCTTCTTGTCCGCGTCGAGCTTCTCGAGCGCCCTTCGCGCGCTCTTCTTCTTCCCTCGCTCCACGAAAACAGCGGTGCCGTAACGGCCCCGTTTCGTGACGCCACCTCCAGCTTTCAATATCGTGCTGCCGCTGGGGGAGCTCATGGCTGACCTGGACATGTGGAATCGTCTCGGCTCGACGGCGGGGTTCGTTGGCAGCTGCGGACCCGCGGCGGTTGACGTCGTTGGCACCTGTCCGGCGGGCGCCGCGTTCGCTGCGGACGGCACATCGCTCGGCGATGCGGAGGGGATGCTCGACGTCGGGGGCCGGCGGGAGCTGGAGATTTCGTCGCCGGGTTTGGACGTCTGGATGACGGGTTTGGAGTGGGCGGCGGCGGCGGCAGCAGCAGCGGCGGATCTGGCACTGACCTTTGCCAAGCGTCTTTGGTAGACCCAGCTGCTGCCGGCCAAGTGCCTCTTGGATCCTGGCTCAAGCTCTGTCGTCTGTTAGTACTCGCGTGGCCCCCAAAGAAACAGTGAAGAGAGGGAGTCGCACGAAGATAGGTAACCGGCGCATCCTCATCGCCCCGCTTCCTTTTGATGTGGATCAGCTGGGGAGGGGCAGACATGGCGGGCGGAAGAGGTAGAGAAGTTTCTTTGGCGCGGGGATACGAAGATGAGAGGGGTTGAGGTATTGAGTTCGTGCTTGCTATTGCCTTGTGGTTCTGAAGAAGGGATTTGCTAGGGAAGTTGGAGCTGCGATCCCTGGTTTGTGGTAGGCTCTGCCACGTCGCAGTTCATGCGGTGACGATGATGGGTGTTTTTTTCCTTTCTTTTTTTTCTTTCCCTTTTGTGAAGTGTGGATTTTTTCTAGAAGCCTCCCGCGATTCAACCCAAATGAGACCTGGACCACATGGCGGAGACAACGAAGGTCAGATAAGCCTACCTTATCATGAGATCACGTCATTGGCCAAGAGCTCCCACCGCTTTTGGCAGAATCGACCTCTGTCCGGGGATAGCCCCAGACGGTGGCTTTCACTACCGGACGGGGAACTGGGACGTCGAAGAAGCCCCGCCGTACCCGAACCAAAGCTGAGCTTTCCACGGCCATGTACCTGTGTCCCGCCGATACTGCAGCCAATTGGAATTCAGGAGCCATTATGGGGGTATCCGGGGCCGTTCTGATCGAAATCGATAGGCGTCTGCAATCAATCTAACGATGGGCAGATTTAGAGGATAAGGCAAGCAGAGGTGCGGCTGGGTAGAGCACAGTTTGGGGAGGCATCGTGGAACTTGACATATCTAACCACTCAGCGTCTGCCTCAACTGGGCAACCATGTAGCTTGCGTAGGTAGGCACTTGACGACAATGGAAACTGTATTTCATGGGACCTGCAGTCGACTGAAAGACAGCTTTGGTTCAGAGTCAAGAACTGGGCGTTGGTAGTTGCTCATTGTGCAGCACAGTGGATGGAAAAGCTGGGCTTGGTGGCCGGCGAAATGTCGTTGTTGTGTGCAGCCTTGGCAAAGCCATTGTGCAATCATACAGCAGGTGAGGAGATCGGGGGAAAGGGATTGCCTCCTCTCATCATCAGTCGACTATCCATTCCACACAAAGCATGATGGAGGGAGGTACGGATACACTAACTAGCTGACGGTGTCTAGACCTTTCTTCCACTGGGGCCAGCGATGGAGCTTGGGGCCGGCGGCTGTGGAGCTTGATAGATGGTTTGTGCGTCATTGGAAAGTCTCCGATACTTTGGAACGATGAGCCGCCAGGGCCAATGGACATGTCCCCGCGACCTCCCCTGCCTCCAGCATGCATCAGGGATGATGACGCGCCAGGCATGCCGACGCTGAGATGGAGTAAACGACGGCCCCAGTGTGATATGATTAGCAGTAGCTCTTGCACCTTGTGCATTGCATTATGTTGGGGAAGTTTCCCGCTAATAAACCTGGTATCAAATGGGGGACGGGGGACGAAGGGAGGTGTCGCAATGCTGCAATTTTGTCTCGTGCCTCACAACAGACACACACACACACACACATGCCTCTTTGGGTTTGTTCGTCCTAGTACGGACAGCATTTGCCAGGTGCGCACCATTGCTGCTATAAACAGCTACCTACTTTTGGTAAAGCAGTGCCTCCCCTTCACCATTCATCAAGGCGTCCAAGTGTTTGCATCCCGTCAGGTAGGTAGGTAGGTAGGTAGGTACCTTAGTATACGCACCTGTCCGGCCAAAGATGGCAAGTACCTCGTCCGAGCTTCTTCCTCCATCTCACCCTTCCCAACCTTATTCTCCTCAATTCCCCAGTCTTCTTTCCCTCTGGAAGCTCAAGGAACACTCCCCCCAACGTTTAGTATGTCACATACCTACGGAATAGTCATGCAATGAACCCCCCCTCCCCTCCCCTGTGCCACTCACTGCTTCCCTGTTGTGAACTGCTGTGCTGCACCTCCCCCACACCCAAAACAAGGTCATCACCTCTCGAACTCTGCTCTCTGAGCTTCTCGCTCCTCCGCTCCTAACGGCTTATTTTTCGGTAGCTTCTTCTTCTGCCTCCTCTCTCTTACCTACCTTGCTCTTCCCCGACAGACCCGGCTCGTTCCCTCAAAGCTGTTTCACTAGCACCAACAGATAGCCCGACTCTTCCTCGTTGTGTGAAACACTCGGACGCGTGGACTCCACTCCCGGACTCCTCTCCCCAAGAACTGGTTTGTGTCTCTTGTCTTTTGTTTTTGTCACCACCCCGTTCGACGCCTCTTCCTTTTCCTCCAAAGTTTAAGGTGTCGCTTAGAGACCGCCGCATTCGTCAGAGTGTTTCTCCTTCCACTTCTCAGTCTGCAACCCTCACCGTGGGTACCAAGGGAACGGCTTTCATTTTCTTGTCCCTTCTGTCAAGGTACTCTTTCTCAAGGGGGCTTCTTACCCGTGTTGACTTGAAGTGTGAAAGAAGGAAAGCCACACAAAGGTCAGCTTTCCTCATCGCTGCTCGCCCGATCGAGTTGGCCGAGTAACAACGACGTGCTGAGCTTCTTGACATAGGTACCTTGGCGCGGACACCAACATCGACAATGGTTTCCGTAACCATCACGTACAAGAAACCCGGCACGCAGCCTCCCATCTTCGTCGCTGGCTCCTTCTCAGATCCACAATGGCAGCCCCAGGAAATGCAATTCATCACTGAGGACGGCGGAGAGCACACCTTTCACAAGAATATTGAGGTGCCGCCCGGCTCGCAGATCCAGTACAAATTTCGAGTTGGTCTAGGTGACTGGTGGGTTCTTAATGAAGACGGCCCTACAGGTAAAATTCCTCTTTCCTCTTTAGAATGGCCACAGCTAACATGACGGGCCTTGTAGTGACCGACGCATCTGGAAATCGAAACAATATCCTGCTAGCTCCGGACGTCGCGGAGGACAAGCAGCCGGACGGAGACAACGGCGAAGACTCTGCTAAAGCTTCAGAAAGAATGGAGGCCTCGAACGCCGCTGCTGCTTCATCAGCCTCTCAGCCCGATCCCGAGCCCGAGCCCCAGCCCACTACCATGGGCCATCTCAAGGAAGAAGAACGGCAGCGACTTTCATCAACACCAATCGAGCAAGTCGCAGACACCGCAGCAGAGGTCGCCGACAGCGCCGCGAAACTTGATGCCGAAGTGGATACGACTCGTCCTGAACCACTTTCCAAAGGCGTGGACCGGCTGAAGGATGAAGAGCGACAACGTCTCTCGTCGACGCCCATTGAGCAGGTTGCTAGTGTCGCCGCCGAGGTCGCCGACAGCGCCGCGAAACTTGATGCCGAAGTGGATACGACTCGTCCTGAACCACTTTCCAAAGGCGTGGACCGGCTGAAGGACGAAGAGCGACAACGTCTCTCGTCGACGCCCATTGAGCAGGTTGCTAGTGTCGCCGCCGAGGTCGCTGATAGCGCCCAAGCGCTGGACGCTGACAAGGTGGGAGCCGCCAAAAGTATCAAGTGTCTAGAGACTACGCCCATGGCTAACATTTCAAAAGGATTTCGAACGAAGAGACAATGCGGATGACGGTCCCCCGCCTCTGTTTACTCACGAAGCTCTGGGATCTTATGAACCTTCGGGAAGTGGCGACGAAGAAGACGCTCCTAAAGGACTTGATCATCACGGCACCGTAGACTATGATGTCGATAACTACGATTTGAATGATCCGACGTTGGAACGCTGGCCCTCAAACCGCAGTGGCATCATCGACGCCGTGCGCAAGGTCGAAACCGGACTCAATGAGGATCAGACTAGCTTTCATGGCGCACCCCTATCTCCTGTGATTGAATCTCGAAAAGCTGGTCTTGATCAGTACTACGAAGAAGCCGTTCTCTCGTCAGGACCTTCAAGCCCGAGTTCTAACAAGAAGCTCGAATTGCCCAGAAAATCCCATGGCTCAATGGTATCGGACAGATCGCTCCTGTCTTTGGGATCAATTGCCGAAGAGGACAAGGAAACGCCGAGTGCCGAGGGAGCCGGCTTCGATAACGACGGTATGGTGCGGGTGCCGAGCCCCGCGATACGGCCGACACCAAGCACCTTGATATCACCCGCGAGCGATGAGGACGAAGGAGTCGTCATGAAGGGTTCCAAGGCCAAGTCTAGGAACAGTTCGGAGTCAGCAAGGTCGGAGTTAGCGCACCTCAATGGCGTGTCCAATGGCAAGCATGCAATGGACGAGTCGCCCATGGCATCTTCCGCAGAGCCAGGTACCCCGGGAGTCATTGTCGAGACACCCGAGCGAATTGGAGATTCAAGCAACGATGAGGACGATAACCAGACAAGGTCTGTTGAATTGGGCCCCGGCGGTTCGGCCTCGACCACCGGTCGAGATGATGGCCACAAGGGCCAAATCAAGAAGCGCGGAGCTTCATCGACCGAACGACCCAGCACTCCTGCCTCAATACACAGTGTTACAGACAGTAAGGGTGGCTGGCTGCAGGCTTTCTTCCGCGTGCTGTTTGTAGACTGGATCGGTGGTTTGTTCGGCCGGATGTTCAGCAGCCGGAGAAAGGCGTAAGGCTCTCTTCTCCCTCTTTTCCGGTTCGAAAGTCGATCGGTCGCTCATCTTGTTTCCCCCTTTCTTTTGTTCATGTCTTATTCCACACGACATCTGACAGGTTGACTTTTGTACGTAGGATGCTGTTAACGAGCACGGTCGCCATCGTTGCGGGGGCTGCATGGTGGAGGCTTGCCATGGGCGGCGACTTGAGCTTCGGCGAAACATCACTATGAAGGGGCCACGGAGGGCTGGCACAAAAATTGCAGAGCACTGGAGTTTGCACACTGGCACACCGACATGGATTGTACAAGTAATGGGGTGTGACGAGCATGGCGAGCATGGTCAGAGGTGATGGATTACCTGAAACCTAGGACAGACACTGTGGCGTACCCGGCGGAGTAGATTATTGTGTCGAGGAAACATGCAAAAAAACACGCACTATTGGACCTGAATAGATTGATATGGATGGCACGGTGAAAATCATGTCTTTTCATTATTTTCACGCTTCCTTGCTCGCCCGTGACGAGTGCTGAACTGAAAAAAAGGCTCCCTCACTCGCCTCAAACAAGTCTCCAAACAGCACCGGATGATCTCTGGGTATCTTTGCCGAGACCGTCGTCTCCCTCGCGGTTCATCCTCCTGATCCACTCCGTCTCCCTCTCCACCGCGGCGGCTTCGATCTCCTCCATGACGACCAGCTCGTCGAGCATGTCCCTAACCAGGCTGCCGCAGCCACCCAGCATGCGCTTCAGGCTCGACCCCCGGGTCTTCTTGCCGTCGTCGTCGTCGACGTCGTCGTTGCCGCCCGCGGCCTCCTCTTCCGCCCCGGCGTACGCCATCTCCCGCAGCTGCGCGTCCCAGCCCTCGAGTTTCCGGGTATCAGATCGCAAAGTCAACTCTCTCTACGGCGCGGTGCAAGCCTTACCCTGGCAGTCGGCGTCGAGCAGGGAAACAGTGACTGCCTCGGGTGCGTGCGCGAGGCTTGCGACTGACCAACTGGAGCCTAGACATCTTCCGTTCTTGTTCGAAGACGCGCCAGAAGGTGGAGGAACTTGTGGTAGGGGTAGGTAAGGGTGCGTATGCTGTAGCTTCGGAAGTGGATTCAGTGACCGTCCTACCGCCTTTATGTCATCTACCAACCCTAGCTTGCCTGAGCACTTTTGAGTCTTCCAGAACCTAAACTGCGAGTTCGTAGCTACGCGGAGG